AATTAAAAATGAAATCAAAGACACAATAAAAAAGCAAGACCTATCAGAAATGGTCTCTAGTATCATTGACGGTATTGTTCAGAGCACTAGAGAGGAATTTAAAAAGCTATTGCAGGAATCAGAAGCAAAGGTTGAGATGAAAATTGACAAAATAAAAAATGAGTTCAATAAAAAGTATGACCGAATAATTGAAACTTATGAAAAAGTTGCAGCTGAGAACCTTGATCGAACAGGTAAGCTTCAAGACTATGTTGACAGTCTCATGATGGACAATGACAATTTAAAAGAAAAGCTGAGAGAGAAAGACAGGCAACTGAAACAGCTAGAAGAAAAGGTAGGAAAGAATGATGTTAGTCTCAAGCAAGCAATGAGGCTAGCAAACCACAATGAACAATACTCAAGGAAATGTAACATTAGAGTAACAGAAATGAAGGAGAAAGAAAAGGAAAACCTTAGATATGATTTCCAACAAATGGTGAAATTAGAGATGAAAGTAGAGATTAATGACAGGGATATTCTCGGGATACACCGGTTGCCAGGAAGACCAGGGGCGATAAGGCCAGTGATCGTGAAATTCGGTAACTCAGAGGTCAAGCGACAGATTATGCGAAAGAAGCGTGAAATTAAGTCGGGTATAAGACTACATGATGACATCACAAAACAAAATCTGATGCTTATAAATAAGCTGAAACAGTTCGAGGAAGTTGAAAGGTCATGGTATTATAACTGTAATGTGTATGCAACGTTGAAGAATGGTGGTGGAGAAAGATTGAAATTTGAAATAGGAGATAGACTAGAAGAAAAAATAAAAAGAAAGTGACGCTACTGAATAATCTGGTCATGTAGTGGGTAGCGAATGAACACTTTATGGTTGTCCAAAAGCAATCATTATGATTATGGTACTGCAGCATACAAAACTAGATATTACTTGTTATAGTTTTTATTTGCTTACTTTCTAGGTCTTCTGGTAGTGATATTGTCTGTACCACAATTCCAGTGAACAGTAGGGAATGATGTTTGATTTAATTGCAGGGATTGTTATAGTGCACTTTTAGTATTGTAATTTAGTACACAAGGTAGGTGTCATATATATCCATACTGTGAAGCTTAAAGCCTACCAGCATGAGGTAACGATCTGATGCATCATTATTAAGCAAGCACATTAATTTAGTGTGAATATTAGAGCAACATTGTCTTAGACCCAGTCCTATTTGACCGAGACCGTGTATTTGTGGGTGTGTGTGCTGTATACATTGTGCGTGATGTGTGTCCTGTCCATGTATATTGGGTGTGTGTTATTTTGTGTGAATGTTTCATATTGTTGTAGGTATGTCCGACTGTTTGGACATAATGAGACCAGGTACTGCAACTGTTCTAGTAATTTTGTTAGATATAAGATATCCATATTTTTAATAAGTATACCTGTATAAGTATAAATAGCTATATACAGTGTATATATATATATATTTATATATATGCAGAACAGATTAACGTAAATGACTACAATTAAGATTGCATCATTGAACTGTAGAGGATTGAGGGAAAATATTAAGCGTAAAGATGTTTTTAGGTTTTTAAGAGAAAAGAAGGCTTCAATCTACTGTCTACAAGATACTCATTTGGTAGAGTCTGATGATAAGATAATACATGCACAATGGGGTCTAGAACACTTGATGACTGCTGGTAAAACTGACTCCCGTGGGGTAACAAACCTATTTAATAATAATTTTGAGTATAGTATAAACGGAGTTAAAAAAGATGACAATGGTAATTTATTGGTAATAGAACTGAAAATTGAAAAAACAATTTTAATAACACTTATTAATATTTATGGCCCAAATAAAGATTCACCAGAATTTTATAAGAATATTCATAAAATATGCGAAGAACATGAATCGGAGTTCCTGGTTATGTGTGGAGATTGGAATTTGGTCCAAAATTTTGAATTAGACTGTTGCAATTATGTAACACAAAACAACAAAAATAGTCACAAAGTTGTAGAAGAGATGAAAAATAGTTTTAATTTGGTTGACCCGTGGAGAATAAAAAACCCTGATAAAAAACTGTATACATGGAGAAGAACAAATCCAGTAAAACAAGCACGGTTAGACTTTTTCCTGGTATCACAAGAGTTAATGTCAATAGTTCGCGACGTTAAAATTGTTCCCGGTTATCGCACAGATCATTCCTATATTGAATTAGAAATAGTAATGTCTAATTTTGAAAAGGGGAGGGGATTTTGGAAATTTAATAATTCTTTATTAAAAGACCACGAATATGTGAAAAAAGTAAAAGATTGTATTTTGCAAACAAAAATGGAATATGTCCCCACGCCAGTGGTGCGTGATAGTATCGTGACTATTCCGAATGAACTATTACAATTAAATATTGATGATGATTTATTTTTTGAAATTATGCTGATGAAAATTAGAGGTATAACAATATCACATAGTTCATGGAAGAATAAACAGAGGAAAAAGCAGAAGGCTAATATTGAACATCAAATAAAAGTATTGCAAGAAGATATTAACAGTAACAATGATGTAAATGGAATAAAACAATTAACAGAGCTTAATACACAACTAAAAAATATAAGGGAGCTTGAAATGAAAGGGTTACTGATAAGGTGTCGAGCAAGATGGGTAGAACAAGGTGAAAAACCGACGAAATATTTTCTTAACCTGGAAAAGAGGAACTATATAAATAAAACTATCACAAAACTGATTGATGATAATGGAGTTGTAATTACGGACCAAAAAGAAATTCTAAACGAAATTAAACGTTTTTATGAATCCTTATATAGCAATCAAGACCAGTGTTTGGAGAATGCTGGGATTGATGAATTAATGGAGGGATTAGAAATTCAAAAATTATCAAATTTTGAGTCATCAAAATTAGAGGATAACATTGCTAAAAATGAGGTGTTACGGTCTCTAAAAGAATGTAAAAATGATTCAGCCCCTGGATGTGATGGCTTTTCTCCTGAATTTTTTAAATTTTTCTGGGTTGACATTGGCGATTTTCTGCATCGATCATTTATTGAGACCTTTAAAAAAGGTGAACTTTCCCCAATGCAAAAATTTGGTGTTATATCAATATTACCCAAGGGAGACAAACCAAGGGAATTTTTAAAAAATTGGAGACCGATCTGTCTATTAAACGTTACTTACAAAATTTTATCTAGAATAATTGCTAACAGAATCAAACCGTTTCTCCCTAAATTAATACACGAAAATCAAAAGGGTTTTATGGAAGGTAGATATTTGGGTGAGAACACAAGACTTTTATATGATATCATACATGTTTGCAATGAAAATAGCGTACCAGGCCTAGTTTTAATGGTCGATTTTGAGAAAGCATATGATTCAATATCTTGGAATTTTATTAGAAAGGTCTTAAGTTTTTTCAACTTTGGGGAAAATATAAAGAAGTGGATTGATATATTTTTTACTAATTTTAAGCTATGTGTGATTCAGGGTGGCAATGCCTCATCTTTTTTTAAAATATATCGTGGGTGCAGACAGGGGGATCCGATCTCGCCATACTTATTCTTGCTATGCGTAGAGATAATGGGTGCTATGTTTAGAAAAAGTAGAACAGTCAAGGGCATTAAAATTAAAAATAAAGAATATAAGATAATGCAGTATGCGGATGATACTGCAATATTATTGGATGGAACAGAAAAGTCATTAAAAAACTCACTTTCACTAATAGACCAATTTGCTAAGTTTTCCGGTTTAAAACCAAATTATCAAAAAACATGCTGTATTAAAATTGGACCATTGAGGTTTACGGTGAGAAATTTTAATGCGAACTATGGAATCAAATGGTCCCAAGAACCGTTTACTTTTCTTGGAATTATTTTTACTGTAGACTTGGTTAACATGGTTGAATTAAATTTTGAAAACAAGGTAAAGGATATTAAAAAATTGATAAAGTCCTGGTCAAGGCGACTATTAAGTGTTACAGGAAAAATTACTGTAGTAAAATCAATAATGCTGTCTAAATTAACACATCTGTTTATAAGCCTACCTAATTTGAGTGAAGAACATATAAAGGATTTAGAAAGTGCATTTTTTAATTTCATATGGAACAATAAGAAGGATAGAATAGCAAGAAAAACATTAATTCAAAATTACCAGCATGGTGGATTACGTATGATTTCAGTCAAATGGTTTATTGATAGCTTGAAAATTTCGTGGTTGAGAAGAATGATGGGCTGTATTAGTATAACATCATGGCATCAATTGTTGTTAGATACATTATCATACAATTTTATGGATCTTGTGAATTTTGGACAGGAATATATAAAGCACATTGAAAAGAAAACCACCAATAGATTTTGGAAAGATGTATTTCAAGCATTCTATCAGTTTAGACAAATAATTGATAAGACTGATTTAGAGTTTTATCAAGCGGTATGGTTTAATAACATGATTAAAATCAATAGTAAAACAATTTATTACAAGAAGTGGCATGAGAAAGGAATAGTTCGTGTATTTGATTTTGTAGATGAAAATAATAACTGTTTAAATTATGCCAATTTTTGTAGTAAATTTAATTTCTATCCACCATTCACAATGTTTTATGGTATCGTACAGTGCATCGAGAAAATGATTAGAAATAAGAAAAACATTGATATATATATGAATATTCCCTTTAGACCAAAATTTCTAGAAGTTCTGATGAGAAACCAAAAGGGAGTAAGACCTATATATGATACCTTTGTTACTAGCTTGTATTTTAGACCAAAAAGTGAAATAAAATGGGAAAGTGAGTTGAATGTGTACCACGATGAAAAATGGTGGATGGAAAAGAATAACTCGATTAAGAAGTTGGATGATATGAGCCTTAGATGGTTTCAATATCGACTGGTCCATAGAATCTTAGGAACAAATTCTTTTTTATTTCGGATAAATGTAGTAGAATCAAATTTATGTGTATTTTGTATAAAAGAGGAGGAAACTTTTGTTCATTTGTTTTGGGAATGCGGTAGAATTTCAGAAATCTGGGAACAAGTAAGAGAATGGTTAGAAAATGATTTAAATATAAAAGAAAGATTAAACTTAATTGACATTATATTTGGAAAAAAACAAAGTTTGGTAAATTTAATTATTTGTCTGGTTAAGAAATTTATATATTGCCAGAAAATGACCAAAAGTGTCCCAGATTTCTTGAAAGTAAAAAGTTATATTAATCAATATATGGAAAGTGACTACTTTACTTATAGCAAAAATATGGATAATGATGGTTTTATTAAAAAATGGAAAAAATTAGGAAGTGATTTTGTGGATAGGAAATTTAACAGTTAAGTACCATTAGAGCTTGTATGTATATATGGATGTGAGAGTGTTTTGTATTTTTTGTTTTGAAATAAAAAAAAATGTTTTCCAAAGCAAACTTAACTTACCAGTAGAGGCCCAAAAGCTGGTTGCAGTGGAGCTAATTAAATCTTTCACAGACACTCCCAATGTAGTGACTGACACAGTAACGCCAGCACCTGTTGCACTTGGGGATGTAGAAGACAAAGAAGCAGGAACCTGTGATGATTGCTTGCTCAACTGTCCCTGATTTTCACCTGTCTGTGACTGTGTTGGTAGAGCACTGGCCGGTTGCTGTGCTGGTAACCCACTGGCTTGATTTGTCAGTACATTGGTAGCCTGTGGTTGTTTGGGTGCGTCACCTTCTTGTTTTGAGGGCAAACTGCCTTCTTTTGTCTGTCCAGGAAGGCTGCCAGACTGTGTCTGTTCAGGTATTTTGCCAGTCTCCGTCTGTCCAGGTAGGCTGCCAGTTTGTGTCTGTTCAGGTAGTTCGCCAGTCTGTGTCTGTCCAGGTAGGTTGCCAGTTTGTGTCTGTCCTGGTAGGCTGCCCATCTGTGTCTGTCCTGGAAGGCTGGCAGCCTGTGTCTGTCCCGGTAGGCTTTCATGTGTCTGTCCTGGTAAGCTGCCAGTCTGTGCCTGTCCAGGTAGGCTGCCAGTTTGTGTCTGTCCAGGTAAGCTGCCAGTCTGTGTCTGTCCTGGTAGTTTGCCCATCTGTGTCTGTCCTGGAAGGCTGGCAGCCTGTGTCTGTCCCGGTAGGCTTTCAGTCTGTGTCTGTCCCGGTAGGCTGCCGGTTTGTGCCTGTCCTGGTAGGCTGCCCATCTGTGTCTGTCCTGGAAGGCTGGCAGCCTGTGTCTGTCCCGGTAGGCTGCCGGTTTGTGCCTGTCCAGGTAGGCTGCCAGGCTGTGTCTGACCAGGTAGGCTGCCAGTTTGTGCCTGTCCAGGTAGGCTACCAGGCTGTGTCTGACCAGGTAGGCTGNATTAATAGGAATCTGTCACACTGTGCACCTACGCAACAGATGCAATTAAAATGTAATTAAACTTTTTAAAAATCAATCACAACAGTATGTATATGTTCATTTCCAAAGATCAATCCATTTCAATTACCCATTAAATAAATATAAAATTTCAGAATGTGCAAGGAGCAGTGGCTTTGTACTATAAAAGAGATCTGTATGATTTTGTAAATGGAACACAAGTGAGCAGTGAAGGTTTGATGGATGCTATTGTGTATGGCAGAGGAGCTTTAAATGCCAACATACAACAACTGCTAAATACACTGACTCCTGGGAGAAGCATGGTGAGAAATCTTTTTTTTAATGGGGCTAGAGCTTGTTAACATAACTGTATTCTGTTCATGTACTCTCTTGAGACTTATTGGTAAACAAAAGCAATTTGTAAGATTTTTTCAAAAAAAAATTCTTACTTAATTTGCTGAAATCAACATTTTAAAAATGAAGATAATTTAATTCCTTTGCCCTAATATATTTTTAAAATAAAATTAACTTTGTTTATGTTGACTTTGTGGATTGTTCTGTAATCTTTCTGTTTGACATGTATAATATTAACTGTACTTTGTATTTGTAAAGGGAAAAAAAACATTTATGTTTCACAGGTAGTGGAGAATGTTACCTCAGCAGGGGAGATGTCTATTAGTAGGTGTGACCACAAGGCATCCCCTGGGGCAGTCAGTTATGTCCTGTCACAGCCAACACCCAAAGCCATCAACAACTGTAGCTTGGCGCCCAGGGTACCTCCAGCTTCAGGACCTGTCCCTGCTGGGGTCCCTAGTATGCTCATATTTTGTTGCTTTTCTTTAAGTCATATTTTATTAAATTAAAGTAGTCATCCTCAGTTTTTTAAATAACTCCTCAAAGGATTTCACTTATGTCCACTCAAATGTAACACAGTTCAGAAATGTTTTTGTCAATTGTTCTTTAAAGACAAACAGTATACTTTTGAATACTTCTTACTTTAAACTTGCTGTCTGGTTTTTTAACCCAATGTCAAGAATCATGTGTAAATGCTGGAGGGACCATATTTGACAAACAATAAGTCGATACAAGCTCTTGACTTAAGCTTTGTGCATGATGATGACTGTGTAAAGTCGCTTTTCCTTTTCCACACGCCCATGTTACCGAAATTCTCAGGATATAATTCTTATGATATTAAAAAAATGCATACTTCTCAGGCTTTCGCTGTGAAATGGACTAAGCTTTGTTAATGTTTTATTTCAGATGTGAGGATAAATGAATTGAATACAGATTCTCCAGATGCCAATAAGATGGTTTACATAGAACTGATCGGAAACTCCAGCACCTCCCTGGATGGACTGACTCTAGTAGCATACAGTGGCCAGAATGCAAACAAGGCTTCATACGTCCTGGACTTGACAGGACAGAAGTATGAAGCAAAAAGATGATTTAATTTTTGAAATTTAAGATATTCCACATTCCTAACCATTTCAAAATCTTCCATAACTTATTTTTGTTCCTTTTAGTTTACCACATTTGTTCAAGACAGTTGAGATGGGATGGCAGTTAATATTTGCACATTATTGTTATCATATTTGAAAACGTACTGTATTTTTTTTATTGTTTATTATATTTAAAAGATACATTTGATGTAAAGAGATTAAAATTGTAATTGTAGATTTGATATGACCGAAAGGAAATTACGGTGGAATTACCATTTAGGTGGTATACATTTGAACTGAACATACTTTTAGAAAGAAAAGTATTATTCATTTCATTTTTACTTGGAGTGATATTTTTAGTCAGGTACATTTATATCTTTGAATTTTCAGGGTCAATGCAAAAGGTTTCTTCTTAATAGGAAATTCAAACGTCCAAGGTGCTGACCTATCTCAACCAGACAATATCTTAAGAAGTGATGGCCTAAATGCTTTGGTGTTGTACAAATTAAATGCCTCAGGTTTTGTGAAGGACCAAACACAGGCTTTCAGTAATGGGAGTGTGGTAGATTTTATTGTATACGGCAATATCTCTACCTCTGTGAATAGTTCAATAAGTCTCTTGGACATTTTTGCCACTGGGCAGAAGCAAATATATGAGAATGATCAAAACCTTCACCATGATGAGTCCATCTCTCGCTGCTCTCCCCATAGCATTGGTGACATGATGGCTTTTAGCGTGACCATTCCAACACCAGGTAAGGTAAAAAAGGATCTATTAGGCCAGACTTTATCTGTCATGAATAATGTTTGGTCACTGTAGAATTTAAGTTAATAGTTTAAATGTAGGTCTGGAATTTTCAAGGGAGGCACAAAATCTTTTTTAAAGGGTAGAGCTAGGTAACAAAATATTTTTGACAGATTTGCTGCCTTTAATTTTTGGCTAAAATAGTAGTAGGTAGGTATGTCATCTCTGCTCTAAGTGCATTTAAATCAAGAAGAAAGCTTAGGCAGTCATTTCCTCAGATATCAATGATGAAAGATATGAAATAATGAATTTGATATTAGAAGATAATATGTAAATATGAAGACTTTTTTATGTTTTCTCTTAGGGGCTCCAAACAACTGCGACAGGCCCACAGTTTTGATCAATGAAATCAACGCAGACTCCCCTGGCTCAGATGACAAGGAATTCATAGAACTGTGGGATGGAGGGTCTGGCAATACTGCTCTTAACTGGATTGTATTGGTATTATATAATGGTAAGGAGAGGAGCGTGGTTTTAAGTATTTGGTGTACCTGTAGTGAATATTTTAATATTGGAACTAATATTGGTATACCACAACTAAAACCATGATTGTTGATGTTGAACATTTTATCCTTACATTATTAGCCGCAAGCCATCTCTTAGCACTGGGCCTCAGTAACCATTACCTCTAACTTTGCTTCATAAATTCTTTTTCAGTGAAAAGGGTGTGTTATGTTGGGAGGGCCTATGCTGTATAGAGCTAAAATAAGTACAATGTTTAATATTACAAATTTTTATGGTTTCTTTTTCTTAATATTTTTCTAGTATCTTTCATTTCTCTTTAGGTGCAAATGGACAAGCTTACTATACCCTTGACCTCACCAATGAGCGCACAGATGCTAATGGCTTCTATATTGTTGGTGGAGCTAATGTTGCCAATGTGGACCATGTCTTGAGCCTAGCAGGACGATCTGTTAGCATTATTCAGAATGGGCCAGATGCTATAGCTCTCTACAGGGTGAGACAGGGCTGCTTGTGCCTAGCTTTTCTTTAAATTTATCATTTAAACAAAAGAATCTTTTTTCTTTATTCCTTTAATATTGTTTAATATGATAACAGGTGATATGCATTTGAAATTAGTGTAATTTATTTAAGTAGAAAGCAATATTTATGTCACGTGTAAAAATTGTTATTGAGAATCAACAATCATTTCATTCTTTATCTCAGGGCCATTCCTCAAACTTCACAACTGGTATGTCTCCCACCAAGAAAGGCTTGATAGATGCTGTTGTGTATGGAACAAATGACGCACAGAATAGAGTTCTTCTGGACTCTTTACTACAAAGTGGACAAATGCAGATAAATGAAGACCCAGAGTTCTTGGTAGGTTGACTGTGTAAGGCTTCTGAACCTGATTTCGTGTGTGAAAGTTTTCAGGATAATACCTGATTTCAGGATTTTCATTCTTCATTTTGTTAATTTTTTTTCTTATATGGTATAAATGCAAGGAGAAACTGCAAACTAAATTTTCAGGAATTTCAGTGTTTACAACTTTCACCCATGTGATTTTGTTGTATTGCACAATTTGCTGATTGCTTGTGTTACTGGTTGAAGAATTTTAAGAAATGACCGATAGGTTGGCTGATTTACTAGCTATTAGCATTTTTGTTATTTACTTAACGATAAGTCATGTTGGCTGACATATCTGTTGCTTCATTCACATTCATAATAAAGATTTGTTATTCTTATTAAGTAAACTTATTTTTTCTTTTAGAATGGAGATGAAAGTATTAGCAGATGTAGTTGCAGTACCCCCATGGACTACCAGTGCTTTACTCTGACCACACCATCACCTAAAACTGGGAACAACTGCACCAACCCAACACCAAGACCCTCCACTACAGTGGCAGTGCCAACTGGAGATCTGCCTAAAGTTGTCATAAATGAAGTTAATGTGGACCAGCCAGGGTTGGATATAACAGAGTTCATTGAGTTAGCAGGTTTGTATGTTTTAGGTGAACATAAAGGGTACATGCATTTGTTACAGTGCAGAAATCTAAACGTCAGATCTTCAAAATTTGGTTATAACATATGAACAATTTTATAATGGAGGTGAAGAATATGGCATACCGTATATTGGTNGCAGTACCCCCATGGACTACCAGTGCTTTACTCTGACCACACCATCACCTAAAACTGGGAACAACTGCACCAACCCAACACCAAGACCCTCCACTACAGTGGCAGTGCCAACTGGAGATCTGCCTAAAGTTGTCATAAATGAAGTTAATGTGGACCAGCCAGGGTTGGATATAACAGAGTTCATTGAGTTAGCAGGTTTGTATGTTTTAGGTGAACATAAAGGGTACATGCATTTGTTACAGTGCAGAAATCTAAACGTCAGATCTTCAAAATTTGGTTATAACATATGAACAATTTTATAATGGAGGTGAAGAATATGGCATACCGTATATTGGCATATATTATTAGTATGTGTATCCACACCAGTTATATGTTTTTTGGTTATTTACAGGCCCTCCTGGAGCCAGTCTAGCTGGTTACTCCTTAGTTCTGTTCTCCTACAGTGTACCATTAAAGAGGGCTTCAGTGTCGGCACAGTTTAACCTGAATAATTACAGAATTAGTAATACTGGACTGTTCTTAATTAGTAACCACACAAGGTTTTCTGTGAAAACAGATTATGTGTTACCTATACCGGTAAGTTTGAGCAGGAAAAAATAATATCTGATTCATTTACATCACCATTTCAATTTAATTTCACTGTAAAGATTAATGAAAAATGTATATAATTTCAATTTCATCCTCATGCTTTGTGCAATTTCATTATTCCCAAGAAGAAAGAAGAAATATTAGTTGGTTATTAGTTAATTAATTTTCTTTTATTCACAGGGTATCATAGAGAATGGCATAGAGGCCATTGTTCTCTATGACAACAGACAGTTGACTATTTCTGATGCAATGCAGCCAACCCAGCAGGGAGTTATGGATGCTATTGTCCACTGTACGTCAGTCTGGGACAGAGACTTGGGAAAACAACTCATCACGACACTGGGACTTAAAGGCTCTGCAGCCATTGTTGAGGATGCAACGTAAGCTTTACTCTGGTGTACCCTGTGAATTGTCTTTTGATGTTGAAATTTTGCCAATGGCAGTTGTTACTTATCTTGACTTACAGAAGTAAAAGATATGAAAATAAGTATTAAATAGAATATTAAATAGTCTTACAGGTGTGCATTTCTTTCAGTATTATGAAGCTGTAAGTTCAGGTTTGCATCAGCTTGTATCTGTCCATCTGGTTGAGTGCTTACCATGCTTTATAATACAGGATTTTTTTCATATAAGCTCTTCTAGATTTAACCAGAGTGTAAAAAATGAAAATCTTGGAAATAAATATTGTTGTTGGCTCTTAGTTTTCACAGAGATGATGAGTCAATCAACAGATGTGATGGCAATGACACCATGGACTTAAGCAGCTTCAAACTGAGCCTTGTTACCCCTGGCAAGCCAAACACCTGCCCTAAAATCAAGTTTGCCCGCCCAGTGCAACTGAAGCTGATCAATGCTGACTGCAGAGAATGGAGAAATAATGTCTCACTTTTGTTCGTCTTCAAGGAAAATGTTGCCTATTCCATTAATGAGCAGTGTAACTGCGGGTTCTCTGCAGATTACATAGCAGGTGTGTATTGTGCATGTCCAGGGATAAGATTTTTATTTCAAGCAGCTCACGTATTGCACTGCTTCATGTATCTGGCTTAAATTTTATCTCGAATGATGATGGTGACACCATGCCCTGTGCTTGATAGTTGTGTATTTTCCATTTAATGATAAATTGGCAGTCAGTTACGTTTTTTACCCTTTCTTCTAACAACTGGTAAACAATTCATTACCTTGATGTCACAGTTAATGAAAATTATTAAAAGCATTGATAACTACAGTGAAGCACTATAGAAATGTGCATTATTGTCTATTTTAAGTTGCCAAAGACAATTAGATATTTACTCAAAAGAGAGAAAAAAAAAGCGGGCAGATGTCTATGGGCCAAAATGATGTTATAAACAGTAGTTTTGTCTTTCTCCGACAGATTTGAAGGTACATTGTGGTGGCAGTGTGGTCCTGGTGTTCAGTATCATAGGGACTTCTGAAGAACATATCAAGAATGTCTACTCATCATTTATTGAGTATGTGAACAGTAGTAAGAGCATCAAAGTAGCCGGCCATCAGTATAACCTTGAATCCTGCATAGACAACAAGTGTTATATACAGCCCAGTGGACAGACAGGGAAACCAGGTAATGGTGAGAATTTATTTATTTATTTATTTATTCTCTCTCTCTCTCTCTCATGCATGCGTAAAATGAGTTGGTATATGGTAGTATTGTTGTGATGATGATATCATTTTGCTGTCATATTACATTTTTTATTGCAGGTCAGCTGGGAGTGAGCGTTGGTGTAGGGCTGGGTTGTGCTGCAGCCCTCATTGTAGTCATTATTGTCACTGTGATCTGTATAAAGAAGAGAAGAAGTGGAACCCTGTAAGTATTTGACTGAGCTTATTTCATAATCTTAACTTCCTACATGAGTTTAGAATGATTTACTTTTTTCTTTTGAGAAGAGAGACAATTTCTCTTATAGATCTATAGAAAAAAAGGTAGGCAGACAGAGGGATGCAGGGACAGGCAGGCAAATGAGCTATATTTCACATTCATTTTGCCACTGTTGTTAGAGTAAAATTTACCGTAGGCATTTAGAAAAAAATCAAGTTGTTGTTTTGTGTGTGCATAGGCATACGTGTAGTTTTCAGCTGCTCTTTCTTTTACTTATTTATTTATTTATTTATTTATTTATTGTAAAAATAAAATTATTTTCATTACTAAAATTATTTTCGTTACACTGCAGTTTTTAAACATAAGTTTAACAAATAACTATCTGATTTCCTGCTATATGATTCTTCTTTGTATAAATGTTTTGTAAATTTTGAGCAGTCTTTCTAATGCTTAGTACTCTCACTAAAAACTTCTATTTAACAACACTGTTATCTGTTATTAACTTGTAACTGTCACATTTTTAGTGCTTCTTTCACCTGTTAAAAGCCATGTGTATCTTGTATGCCATGCACTATTTGACACTGACAGCATTACTTGGTTTCTTGTGTAGGATATATCAGATGAGCCGTCTAGACAAGCATGAGGATGAGGATGGATTGATTGATGATTAATTTCTTTGGTATGGTGTTAACGCATGTGCACGGAAGTGGCAGACCTACATTTTTTGGAAATTTGAGACAAAGATGGGGGATTGGGGGTAGAGGGGCAGTGTTTTTTAATGACTTGTTGAACATTATATTCTTTGTTAATGTTGATGGAGGAAAGGTGTGGCCACTTGGTCTGCTGCTATGTGTATGTGACAAGATGTCTTCCTCATCCCATTGTGCTGCAAGAAATTCCCTTTTAAGTGCTTTTTGTGTATACCTCACCTGGTGATTCATGTTTGATTTTTCCCTATTCATGTCTTAAGAATACAAGTGGCAATATTGAGAAGATGTTATCTAAATTGGTTCCTCATTGATAATACACTGGATTAATTCTCTTATGATTATGAATGATACATTGGTTTATATGCATGCATTTATAAATGTTCTGTAGATAAGATATTCTATTTTATTTAAAATTATGCTTTACATATGGCTGACTTCTATTAAAATTGCCATCTGCATATTTTAGAATAATTTCCCTGCTTCTTTTGTTGTTTCTGAAGATTGAAGTAAACATTTGATTATCCCTTTTCTGTCCCTAATAATCAAAATGGTGGTTTTTCTCTTTTTTATTTTTGGAAGGGAGATATCTTCTTTTAAATGTATTACAATATTAAAAGAATGCTTGCAATTTGTAATATGTGCAAAAAGGCAAACATGGACCCTTTTTCTTGAAGAGCATTCAGTGTTAGATGTCATCTTAGATGTTTCTTAAAATGATGAATGGAATCTAACACTATCTTTTAGTGTCAAAATGGAACAAAAACAGTTCCTTGCAAATTTAGCATCATATTTTGATGATGCAGTTAGCTTTAAAATTGTTAAAAATTTATTTTAGATATGTTTTTGCTGCCATTTTGTGATTCCATACTCATCTGTTTCTGTAATTAATATTAAATTTACATATGTACAGTGTGTGGAACTCCAATGGCATTCAAACCTCTTTTCTTGTCACAACAGATTTTACATTTTCTGGTGGATTCTTAATATTTGTGGCTATGAAACATTTTATTTTCATTTCATTTCTGATATTATGTTTCATTTTCTTATTTATGGTCCAGAATCTGTAGATTGCATTTGTTTGCACACATCTGAAAAGCTTTTTACAGCTTAAAAGAGAAAATTGGGCCTTTTGAAAGGCTTGCACATCACCTGTATTCAATTATTTAAAATATGGAAAAATCTGTTAATTATCCAAATATATTTTGTGCCAATTTTGGACATTGAAATATTTTATGATGGAGTATATTTAGGTTGTTTATATTGTTAGGGGCATGATTTGGTAGGTATTAACTGTCAACAAACTGCTTTGTGAAATTTTTTTAAATAAATCCTCTTCTGCTCTTTGTTATATAATTTCATTCATTGAATGTTTTTTATTTATTTTCTCTCATTTTAGGCACTTCCAAATGGCACGTTTTGATGACACAGATGATGACCTAGAAGATGAATGGGTGGGAGGTGCACCGGCCAGTTTTAACAATCCTCTCTATAGTAAAATACTCTCCTGATTATCATTTAATATCATCCTGTTATTATATGTTTAGCAGGACATCAATATTTTTTGGATTTAAAAAAAAATTATTAAAAGGAAGAAGATTATATTTGGATTAATTTATTCAACAAAAATATGAAAAAGGAGACTAATTGATATGCCTTTTTAAGTATCTGTTTGTTGCCCAAGAAGATCATGCACTAATTTGAAGTAATTAAAATAGGGAGTGATTTTGATGTATAACCACATGTATGATCTTAAAACAATGCTCATAAATGTGTGTAGAAAAGGAAATGAATCTGAATGTGCCAATTTTAACCCGTTTAAAGTGATAAAAGGATGATATTCAGAGGATTAACTCTATTGAAGTGAGATCATTCTTGGTATCTTCATTATCAAAGTATCATTTATTTTTTAGTGCTAGAACCCAATCTCACTCTGAGAAGAACCTCTTAAAATTAGATCTGATTTTTAGATTATGATTCTCACTTGATTGCCTAAAGTGATATCTTTGGAAGGCCATGAACTCCAAATGAAAGCACAATGTTTGTTGAGATAGTGGTATTGACACATGCTTTTATGTTTTTGTTTCTTTTTACTGAATTTGTACATGCCATAAAGCAGTGCAATTGATTATCAAATACATTTCAGTTACAACGTCTGTGGTTGAAAGGTATCTTTTAGATACTATTAAAAAAAGAGATTTTACTTGGATTAGTCATTTACTCAAATTCTCTCTGACCCAATACTTCATGTTCTGTTTTTGAATGTAAATGTACCTCTTTGTCTTTTGGTTAAGTTACAGTGAGAAAGTATGTTTAGCCTTAATTGCAGAGAGTAAGGGGAATTTAAAAAAAAATGTATATTGATCCAAGCAACATGGAAACAGAATGAATTTAATTAAGTTATTAATAATAAGTAAATATAGTATGAAGTCCATTAACAGTTTTTCAAAATGAATGCTGTCTAAATGCTCTCATGAATGCTTCATATTTTCTTGGTTGTTGAAATTTTGAATATATTAATATGATATTTATAAATATATTGTGTGAGTTTTTATATCATATCAAACTGGATGCTTTATTTTGTTTGTTGGTAGGTGGTAGTAATCTGCAATGTTAAAATACAAAAACTGATTATCTCCTGAAGCATAGATTACATTTGCCACGTGATGTCTGTAAAGTGCTCTTATACAGCCCATAAATCCATTTTCAAGTGGCATCTGTGCAGAGGCAGATGACCATGCGAAATCATTGGAAATTGTACAGATTCATGATAATGATAATGGTTGAACCTGCTTTTAGTCTCTTTCCCTACCCTCGTTGGTAGTTTTGTAGCAGGCATAACAATGGTATAGATGTTTAAAACTTAGTGTAATTCAATAGCATAAATTTGAAATTGATTTTCCAAAATTTGACCACAAAGGTAAAAAATGATAGGGGGCCACACAGAAGGCGTACTGCAACTGCACTGAGACTGAAATGGATTCGTACGATATCAACCAAAAATAAAAACAAAAAAAATATTCCCCACTTGACCGCCGTAGCTCACAGCTACTTATAATGTCAAAAAATTGTACAGAAAATTGTGTACAATTTCAACGTACGGCACCAGTGGCAAATGTAATCCAGGCCTTAGCAACACGAAAGGCTGCAATTTGTTTTGAATTAGCACAGCTTCATTGCATTGGCAGTGGCATGTTTTAGTAGAGAAATGTTACAAAGTATTAACTTAGCACAAGTTGAGTTGCCAAAAAGATGGCAAACATTTACTGTAACAGAGAAGTATACATGGGACCCTCTAAGTAACATAGGTCTCTGCTTGTACCAACTAATAGTCATGGACTATACAAACTTATTGTCCCTCTCTTCAACCCAATGCCATTAAAGTATTACGGATTGAGTTCAGTTGCATAATATATAATGATAAATGTAGATTTTAGCCCTTATACTTCAATATTCAAGCATATCTTTTTCATACTAGATTTATAACCTACTAATAATAAATATGATAAGAAAAGTAATCTTTCACTTTGCAAGTTAAGTTTATTTAAGAATTGGTCAGGACTGACCGTCCTAAAAATGAAATTTAATTCTAAAAATTTCCACTGAATACAAATTTATTTGTGTCATACTAATTGTTTCCCATATTTTTTGTACTATAACTTTTTTACTTTACCACTGAGCATTGACTCTCCAATTTTTTGTCAAATTTGTGTTTGTAAATATTTAGTATTTAGTTACCAAAGGACATTTTAAGAAATATTTGTGAGTAAAATGATTTTGTATTGTATCTAAGAGTATTGATGATTTAGGCATATTATATTTTACCATAAAATCGAGTTGGAAAAATCTGCTTCCGCCATGTTTGCAAGAACTGACACTGCCCAAAAAGCAAATTTGAGTGCTCATTTATAATACTTTACCCCTAAATTATCTGGTCACATTTCTTTACAAGGTTATCTTTTTTTTTTTTTTGATTGTTTCCAATTGGAGTTTTAAGGTGCAAATTAACGTTTACTTCATATTAATTCTGAAACACTGAATATGCTTAGATCTGATAATGTGTGAAGTGATTTTAGTATCAGGAAGGAAGGAAGGAAGCAGCTATTAGGATCTGAAAGTCATTAATTGTGCCAAATTAAATTATAAAATATTTATGAGCAACATATGGCAGGTATAACATTTTTCTGCGCACAACATGTAGCATGACTTATGTTAAAGATTTTTGACAATATTCCCATTCACTTGAAAAATGTGGGCAAAACAACATGGTTATTAAGCTAAAGTTTAGATGTACATCACAATTATTGTAATTGATATTATGTCAACAGTGTAAAATACTCTGCAAAGTTAACAACTAAAATTCTTTAATGTTCTCACGTCCAAAGTTTATTTCTCTTCAGTGATTGAGATATTGGTAGTACTGTAATGTCTTATAAAGTAATGCTCCTTCAAGTTGTTAATTTCTCATTTACTCAAATTTATCATCAGTTTCAAGTCATTCCTTTGCACTAATTTTGCTTGGCATGCAACTATATTTTAATACTGATCATTTATATTCGGTACATAAAGATAAATATCTCATATATTTCACTTATTGGTAGCTTGGAAAAATGTGTTATTCTATGATACTGTTTATAACCATTGCTCTTAAGTCTTAAGATGATACTTATAGTTGAAAGTAATGATACCTAATCATTATTGTTACAGTGTATCATTATTTCTTATCATACATCATATATTATCCCAGTGTGTTAATGTTATTCAGAATTGTATTAGTTCATTTTAAAGAGTGTCTCTGAATGTAAATTGATGTTTGCTTAATTTCTTATGAGGTTTAAGAAATCAACTGAATTTTCTCTTAAATACGTATGTAAGATTATAAGAAAAGAGCTTTTATGAAATGAGATGTGTATGTTCAAAATTTCTTTGAGATATTACGAGTTAACTGTAAATTCTAGTCGATTCTAAGATCGTCTACATGAACAGTTCAGGAAATCAACTGAATTTTCTCTTAAATATGTAAGATTACAAGGAAAGTACTTTTATGAAATAAGATGTGTATGTTCAAAATTCCTTAGTTCATGACACAAGAGTCCTCAAATAGGAATCTGCATATTGTATGTTTGCATTTGTTATGTATACTAATTTAAATAACATTCCATATTTGTGTTGGTGCATGTATTGTATTATTGAAAGTATGTAATCAAAAAGGTGGTTGATAAATAAATACATTCATAATTACAGCTATAGTTGAAAGGTTTAAAGATTTTACCCAAACTCTTTGCCCATGCTCTAAAACAATATTTGTACGCCAAAGACCTTGATATTTGATAATGCCTTATCTTTTTGGCAAGCAGGAAATCGGACGCATTTCAAAATGGTATCATTTAGGAGTGGTATGGTCTTGGCAAATTGAGAAACACTAGTAACTACCTAATGGAAAATTGGAATAAAAAGTGGACGAAAAAGGAAAGAAATGGGCAAGCACCTTGATAGTATTTTTCCTGGGTTTTTGTGAGTTTTCATGTAAATAAAGGGGTCAAAATCTGGATGTGGGTGCTTTCAATGATGTCAACTTGTTTAGCCATCTAAATTCCATGGTTTAAAAAAGTTTGATTACTCTAAGTTATAACACACACATACACGCACACACACACTAAAAAAAAAACAGTCAAAAAGATGTGAAATGTGCACTTTTGTGTCAAATTTAAGGCCCTTTAAGTCCTACACCTGACCTTCCAAACCCCACCCCATCCTTCTCCCAATTTTTTTTTTTTGGGGGGGGCATACAGTTCAATTTAACAATATGCAGAATTCTGAAAATTTTAAAAGAGGAATTTTTCAAGATGATGTGGTTAACTATAAATAAACTATTATGTGAATGACGTCTATTCAACAACATCAACATAATGTTTCCATGTGAAGTATTTTGTTTACGGCTGATGCCTGATAGGGCATCTGTTGTCTGGCAGAAACCACAAGCTAATTTCCCATTGACAGCCATACTAAGAAATGCCTGCAATACTGCATGAACAAAATAATTGGGTGAAACATTTCCTATCCCCATGGACAGCAGAGACATTGACATAACTCTCAATGGCACAAAAATATTCTGTCATTAAGCAAACTTTCTTAGGAGCATTACTTGAACATGTGCACCCCTCTGTTTGTAAACAAACCACTGCACCGCTCACAGTCAGTAGCTCTCTGCCAGAGGTCTCATGACTGCATAACACCTGTGCCTGGTCCTGAAAAAAAAAACTGGCTGTACATGTAGTTTACACCCTAACCTGATAGTTGACACCAAAATAAACACTAGCAACACAAAAGAAAAGTCAGGAAAAAAAATGTGAAAAAGCACTAATTTTCTTTCAATGAACTAAATTTGTCTATAACAGTCAGTGATTGGTCCCTTCACAGAACCCCCCCCCCCCCGCCCCCCTTATTACCTTCTGACATCAAAAATTAAAACCTTGATACACTGCCAACTGCTCTGCACAATATGACTGGGAATGGTCTCTTGGTGACTCAGTACGGTCAAGTTGAAAATGCAGTTGCTGTATGTATGGGCCACTAAGCCAATATTGCACCTGGTGAGAAAGACACAATTTCATGAATGATAAAAAGTTAAATGCAAATTTCTGTGTATGGAAGCGTGNATGATACTCAGGTTTGTTTAAAACGCTCTTTGTTTGGTGTTGTGAGCTTTCTTTTTGGTGTTGGTGTTGTGAGCTTTCTTTTTGGTGTTGGTGTTGTGAGCTTTCTTTTTGGTGTTGGTGTTGTGAGTCTTCTTTTTGGTGTTGGTGTTGTGAGCTTTCTTTTTGGTGTTGGTGTTGTGACCCTTACACGCTTCCATATCTGTGCCTGAATTTGCTTCAATTTGTGTTGAAATTTGGACACATGATGCTGGACATGTGTGAAAATCTGAGATAAACATCTTGACTGGTTGTGACTAGTTTTTAAGTGCACTTTGCTGACGAATAAAGTGAGAAAAGTGGAAAATTACTGATAAAAAGATTTAAAAACATTTAAAAATTACTGAAACTCAAGTGCAAGGCTAATTGTCACAACTGTTGTTTGTTTGTGTGAGGACAGTAGTCACTTGCTTACCACATGTACATGTACAATTAATGCCGTGACGGTAAAGGTAGCTGGAAAAAACGAAGAAAAAGTGTATTTGTGAAGGGACACATGCTAGCCTTTAGAAGACAGGAGTCTGAAAGGCCTCCAGAGTCCGTTGTGAGAAGATACATCAGACCCAGCCAAGAGTTGTACCAGGGAGCCTCCTCTCCACCCCCTGTCGGGCCACCAACAACCCTTAGCAGCAATCCTGATGCACCCGTCACACTTAGACCTAGGAGGACCCAGCCAGAGAGTTAATTTGTCCAGTAGCCAGTCACAACCCCAAGATAATGAATACAAGTTGGTTTCAGCAGAAAAAAATGTCAATCTGGTCAACAAAGTCTTGTCAGAGCATACAGCCGAGTGCACTGGCTCGATCAGTGGTTTGGGAAAAGTGGCAGAGAGCATATGTGGGGACTAAAATGTGACACATGTCAGTACAGGACAGGGAAGCAGAAACTATATACAATGAAGTCCAAAGCAAGTAGCGTGGTCGGAGAGCAGTAACAGTGAATGCAAGCTTTCAAACAACAGTCGGTGGTTGGTCCATTTAGTGGTTTCTGCCCTGAACGGGCACGGCTCTCAGAATAAGTCGGAGCTTCTCTTTCTGTTCACGCGAGAAATTACGTGAGTTAACAGTAAAGTCTAGTCGATTCTAAGGCCGCCTGCGTGAACTGCATGAACTAGGTAAATATACTGTAATAACGGATTAAAGTCTCTAAAGGTTTCCAGATTCAGTCTTTAAAGGACAGAAAAGAACTAACTTCAATTTATGCCAATTAGGCTCTATAAACCAAATAACAATGGTCAGTGACCTTCCAACTCGGACAGTCTCTCATGCACTCAGCTTGTTTGTTTTTCAACTTTGACAACTGATCAAGTCGATATTTGTGACATATTTTACCTCGGAGAACGCTCTCCCATTGTTATCACTTTAAGTCAACCTCAAACGCATTCTTCGTTATCACAGGTTAGTTTTTTATTATACCATCGATGAGGTGGAATAAAAACCTACAATAGTAATTGTAGTCATAACACATATGTTGTCTATATTTTTTATGTTTTTAGTAAACACAGGCGACATTCCGTTAGTTTTTTTAGGTTCAGGGATCATTTTGTACTGATTCTTATTGTCTGCTGTAAAGTTTCATATAACTACTGGATCAGCCCACCAGGATTAGTGTTTTGATCACTTTTGATGACAGCTGTATGAAAGTTATAGAAGTCAATAAATTGCTTTCAAAAGCAGAAAGGGATCTTACTGGAACATGTTATAGGATTATGTGCTCTGCATATGTGTTGGGATCATTATGAAAAATTGAATTGACTGAAAGGTAAACAATATACCTAATATATAATAATTATGTATTGTCAGAATGTAGCAATGAATATATAGTTATGTGAATTTTAAAGTAGGTTTATTTATATTTATATTGATAATAACTCTGCAGTTCTTAGTCCATCTACTTTAACTTATGAATTTATATTTCAGGAATTGTGTCACAGTAAAAACAAACAGTGTAACCTAAAACCAAATATGGAGATGTAAGCAACAAGAAACCAGTCACCTCAAGATCTTTATTGATCATGACTGCTGTGTTTTGCTGGGGTGGAGCCTCCCAAGGTCAGCTTGGACTAGGGGGCTCTGAAGAACAAAAAGCAGTACAACCTCAGCAACTGGAGGTTTTTCAAGGCAGAGAAATCCAACAGATCAGCTGTGGTCTGGAGCACACACTGATTGCATTGAAAGATGGTAGCTTATACAGCTGTGGAAGTAATACTTATGGGCAGTTAGGGAAGGAGAAAAGCAGTGGTAAACCAGGTATTGTCTTTTCTGATGTTGTTTTTAAGTTCATTTTCACCTTGTGTATCTACTATACAGATTGGTTGAATATCAAGATGTAATTCTGTAGTTTGTAATTGTAGCTTGGCATCAGTGCCATGTTGCTTTAAAATTTTCTCAAAAACATATTTTTATTCCTGCACTTTTGAGACAAATGTTGGGAATCATGTTGTCCTGCCCATCCATGGGTCTATGGGTCCATATGTCTTTGCGTTAGGAGGAGAAAGCAGAAATTACTGACGCAAAGACATATGGGTCCATATGTCTTTGCGTTAGTAATTTCTGCTTTCTCCTCCTAGACCACCAGAGTTCGGAAGCTGGAACTTTGGGGATTGATAGATCTAACATCAGGGATATCCTTGGGCATTTCAGAATTTTGGTGCATCTTGGGGTTGAGCTGTCACTGGGGGGTCGGTTAGTTCTAAATTCTTTTCACTTTGTATTTTCTGTGTACTCCTAGATCAATACAGTTGGGATGTTGAAAATTTGGTGATTGGTAGACCCGTCATCAGGGATGTGCATAGGCACTTTTTAATTTTAGTGTGCCTTGGGGTTGGGCTGTTCCTGGTGGGGAGGGGGGGATTGATTCTAAATTCTTTTTACTTTGCTAGGTTTACTTTGATGTCATGGACAACTCTATGTCTATTACTCTGTTTCAGAACTAGTTGGTGCATTTGAGACGGGAATGGTACGTTTGATAGCATGTGGAGCATATCACAACATAGCAGTCACTGACAGCAAGCAAGTGTACAGCTGGGGACAGAATTCTCATGGACAGTTGGGCAGAGGAGAAGCAGATAAAAACTTTAACAGAGTGCCAAGGTTGTTGAAAGGATTCAGTGCCAGTAGCTGTGTTATACAGGTTGCCTGTGGAGATAAGCATACTGTTATATTGACAAGAGGTGAGGCAAATTGTTATAGACAAGTTGGCAAGGTAACCGTATAAGTCTGTGCTTTTTGGCTATTTAGCATAGTTACAGTGCATTATGATGTAAGTGAATTTATGATATGAAAGCAACATCTTGTATCATCTGTGATGTGCTTAAAGCTAATATGATGATTTATTGCTACTTTCATAGAATTTACAAGTCATGCCTTGAATCTTAAGTATCAAATCACAATTTCTCTTTACACATCACTGGATATTTATATGTAAACCATTATAATTGAAATATATCAGTATTAACCTGATGGTAAATAAATTATTTTAGATTTTCTTCTCAATTTCTTTATTTTCAGATGGCAGTATATTTGTGTGCGGTGACCATAGTCATGGTCAGCTTGGTATGGGCAATCTTCCTCAGGGCAGACTGGACTGTCCAGTGAAGCTAAAATGCATGCTAGGTTTACCTATTGGTCAAATAGCCGCTGGTGGTCACCATAGTTTTGCATTGACCTTGTCAGGGACCCTGTTTGGCTGGGGAAAAAATAAGTAAGACCTCAGCCTGTTAAGTTGGATATAAAATAGTGATACATTTTTTGTTTAAAATAAGAGTAGTGCTGGGTATGGTCTAATAGAATTTTATCAACCAATGTGGTCTGTTATTTTGCAATGTCATATTGAATTTATGTGATTTTTTTGTAATAATTGAAAATTTATATTAACTTACTTGAAATAAAGCATAATAATAGATGCAAAGAAGAATGTAATAAACACATTTTAATGTCTTTTAAGTTTCCATATATTTTTGATGTGTTTCATGTGAGGACTTCCTCATTAGTTTTCATGACATTTACTTTTATCTTTTTCATTTTAGTTTTGGTCAGCTAGGCCTTGGTGATGAAAAAGGTAATCGAGATTTTTTAAAAACTTTAAGGGTATGATTTTTTTTTTTATGAATACTCAATATTGTTAGCACTTATACAATGTGTTTCAGAGCACTATCAGTCTTGTTTTAACAGTTGATTAGTAATTATTTACCCTATTTTACCCAGTATTTGTTTTATTTTAGATCGACTTTTTCCAACACTGGCAAAATCCGTCAGAAATCAGAAAATCAAGTATGTATGTTGTGGAGAGGATCACTCAGTGTTGCTGACACAGGTACATTTTAAACATTGTTGACATCTGCTTCCCTCTTCATATCAATGACAAAATTTTGAAAGTGTGACTCTTGGGTTTAAAAATTCAGCTATTTGTTTAAGTTGATATTACTCCGGTTAGAGCTGTTATATTTAATAACAAGACTAGTTTCCTATACAATGGCATTTTGCCTGATGTAAATTGCAATGAGACAAAGGTATTTAATGAATACATTTATTTTCTTTTAGGAGGGTGGAGTGTTTACTTTTGGTGCTGGGTCCCATGGCCAACTGGGACACAACAGTTTAAACAACGAACTGCTGCCTAGGAAAGTGTTTGAACTGATGGGGAGCGAGGTCACTCAGATAGCAAGTGGGAGGTAACATTCAGGAGATATTTTCTTTTGAGAAAATGACAAATATTGTTTTGCATGTTATCACTTTTCCTCCTTAATTATGAAGTAGCTAATGTATATTAGTATAATATCATGTATACTAGATCATTTTCATGAAAAGCATTACTGATCACACAAAACTTTGCAGATATGTTAAATTGTTCAGTCACTAGACTACATAGTCATGACAATGACTTGATCACCAGAATTTAGCAGAGAACTATCTGTGTATTAGTAAGTATTTAAATATGAAGTCCTTGTTTCAGGAGACATACCCTAGCACTGGTGCCATTAAGAGGAAGGGTTTATTCATTTGGACTTGGTGCCAGTGGTCAGTTGGGCACAGGGAATACCAGTAACTGCAATAGTCCATCCACAGTGAAAGGTCCTTGGGTACCTGCAGTGGTCACCAATGGACCGTCCAGTTCTGATAGCAGCATGGAAGTGGATGACACCAAATCAGAAGCATATGTGATAAGGACTATTTACAGTGGAGGGGATCAGTGCTTTATGTACACTGCCAAACCTGATCTCCACATGCGTGCTGAAGATTTCCGGACTCAGAAGCCACATTATACTTTACTCACATTGAATGAAGATGTTGTAGAGAGATGTGTGGCTGTTCAGAAAGACGCCAGACTTCCACTGGAGGTGACGGCGTGAGTACTGCTATGTGTCATTTTGATTACACATGAAAGTTTTCGAAATGTTGGGCTCTAGTTAAGTGCCTCTGAAGTGATTTTGTGAGTGTATTATCATGATTTTTGTGTTGTGCAGTTAATAAAGATAATGATATTATTGTGCTTTGAGATATACAAAACTTTTCCCTGTGTATTGGAATGTTGAACTGTTCAACTATTGACCATGTTTTCCATCAGTTTTATTTGTAACCGAATCTTATGCATTTTTATGATTTAAACAGTTTCACACATTAGTTTCTGAAATATTTTATTCCTTTATTCCAGTGACCTGGAGATGGTTTTCTCTTCAGCGTCTTGCTTAAATGGCTCTTTCTTACTCCGGTAGGTTCATTCAGTATTTAAAAGATACTTTATAGCATATAAACATTTAGAAAGAACTCTTTTTGTGTAATGTCAACTGAGAAAGAAATCTCTCATTTAGAATAAAAGTATAAGGTGAAATATAATCTAGTTGTCTTACAGTGAGTAGCAGTTTAATTTCATGTTGATACCCCTGAACTTTTTTGAAATGCATTTTATGAAAAAATATCCTTTTATGTATAAATATAAATTTTCAGTGATAACAGACATTTAGGAAGTAGCAGGCTTAACCATGGCATAGACTTTGATGCTGCTCAAGAAATTTTTCAGATGCTCAAAAATGCTCCAAATACTTTAATATCCCATCAAGTAAGTCGATTTAAACTCCTTTCCTTCCGTCAACTGGAGTAGAGAAAGTATGTATATCATGAGCAGGATGCCTTGCAATATCTGTCATCTCCTTTGACTTTTTAGACACTAATGAAGCAGATGCTGACATCTGCAACATGAAGCGCAGTGCATGGAAACTTGAAATGATTGTAATAAAGATGGAAAACACACTTACAATAAATTAGAATCACTGGCAGAATGTATGAAGAAGGATGATTAAACAAAATATTATAGCAGTCTCTTACATTATATCTACAGAATATCATAGCTATAATTTACAACTGGGTGAATCACCCATGGATTGAGGAAATAAGGATGCAATTTTTTATTCAGGGATTTTTCTCTGATATTCATTTTCAGATATGTGCAACATTGGAACAAAAACTACTGCCCAGTTTACCTATTTCTCCACCAGATATTGAAGCTATAAGACTGTATTTAGTGCTTCCCTTTTGCCACATATTTGAAAACCCTAATTTTTACAGTACCATCATCTGTCCATTTGGGCAGTCCATTATCAGCTTAGACAAGGTAGCAACAAAAGTGATTGGTAAGTCTGCCTCTTTATTTATTTATTTATTTTTTTGTTTATTTATTTTATTTTATTTTTCTAAGTCAAATTGTGAAGCATCATATTTGTTTAATTACAAGTCATTCTCAAAATGAACTAGGCCTTTGTGCAGATGTTCAGAAATGTAAGACATGTCTGATTATTGTTTCTTTTCTTTTAGATCAATGGTGGTCAAAGCTCAGATCGAGAGATTTCAAAAAACTTGTCACTGTAAGTGTTTTGATGTGTTTCACCACTATGAATTACTTGAACAAAAATCTTTATAAAACCCATATATTGCATTATGATTCTTTAACTTAAAGTCCTCTTTTTCTCCCAGTTCTACTGTGCATGTATTCCTAGCTTGGCATTGCTTTAGAATACTTTATCAATGAATTATGGTTTAGATAAATGAAAGGTTCTGTATTGAATTTGAATGTTTGATTTATTTATAATACATTTCTGGTATTTTATATTATTTCAGATTTACAAACAATGTGTAGTGTTCATTTTACAAGAACCTCATGCCAAGAATGAGTTTGAGGTAGGCAGTCTGTATGCTTACTTGTTTCAGTTTGTATTTTGTAAAGCTTACAAAGGATTCAGTTACATAATAGTTAAACTTCAAGTTGTTTTGGACAAATCATTACGTGAGCTTTAATTTACCTCTGAAAGCAAGTCAACACTGGTGAAATAAAGTTATCCTTCAGATATAATATGAGGATAAGGTATTTGCCATAAGGAATAAAATTTCTTAATGATATTTTTACTACCTAGGTACTGGTTAGGCAGAAAGGATTGCATGTTTCAATGGAGATTCTGAGGAAACTTTATACAGTATGTGTCTTTCTTTGATTTGAATTCAATTTTTTATATTAAAAAGGCTCTTGTTGCAATGTTCTAATTACACATTTTTGTATTGTTCCGTTAGATTTTGAGGATGAACAGAGGATTCTCTTATCATCGTCAGTTATATCTGCCTTTAAGATAATGATCAATAGTTGCCACTTTAATTAAGACGAGCATATTACTGTGAAAAGAAAATAGAACTGAAGTATTTTATTTGTTTGATCTAGGTAAATGATGGTGGTGGACAGATCATCCCATATGACAGTTTCTACATCTGGGAATTAAAGGACAAAGTGGACATCAGAGCCGACTATGTCAACTGGATTCAATCAAAGGTTAGATGATTTTGAAAAGTCCATTCAATTTCTTTATCATTTTTTTCCAGCTGCTAGTTGCAGTTTTGCAACCATCCCTTAGCGTATTTTTTTAAAATGAAATTTACTTACTTCCATCCCCCATAAAAAATCAAGTATATCGTCAACTCATCCCCCACATTGAGAACTATGCTAATTGTGCTGTTGTTAATGTAGCAGTAATCTGGTGTAACAAATTGCTGTCCAGAAGTACCTCTTTTGAGAGTATTTGACCTTTCATTTTTTTCTGAGCAAAATGTTAATAGCATTTCATAACCAATCAAATAACTGATTTTCCCCTAAATGATTACACATATAAGGTTTATTGTTAATTCAATATCCACTTCATATAGATTATTTTAGGATTTCTTTATTTAAAATTTTACCCAGGGCTCTGGTGGTATGCTGTCATTCTGTAATTTTCCCTTCGTGTTTGATGCTCAAGCCAAAACACTTTTATTACACACTGATGCAGTGATGCAGATGCAGGTAAGTCACATCATCAGAAAGGTACTTAAAATGAACAGAAAGGATGAAATATTACAGTGTATTAGGTTTCAGTCTCTTATTTATATTTTTAATATATATTAATGATTTTATTTTAGAAATTGATAAAGTGGGTGCCAATAATATATCACGTTTCTATGTCGGACTTTTTGGAAGACAGACATTGGCTAAATTTGAACTATTATTGCTTTAACGTGGACACTTAGCTGGCTGTTGATGAAGTCCATCGGAGGAACTTTAGCAGTTTGTTCATTCCAACCATTGATCCTGTCAACCCGTGTTTGGTGCTATACATTGATCGCAGGAGTGTGGTTCAAGACACAATAAACCAGCTTGCAAAGCAAGGCAGCACAGATTTCAAGAAACCTCTCAAAGTAAGCACCCATGCAGCTTTCAGCAGTTTATTTATATAGTTACATAACTGCTTCCTTTTTCATTCCAGTGTCATTGTATACTGTATGTATTAATGAAATATAATGATGATAGCAATGAATCTGTATATTCATAGATAAATTGATTTATATCCACTTTAAATTTGATCACTGTTGAAAAGTTACCTTTATATACAGTTCACTTCTTAGTATGGTCTGTATATTATTAAATGTTTTCATCTGGCATTAATCTTTTCCTATCTTTTCCTAAGCTTGCTGTATAGAAATATACACCATGGAATGATGATTGCTCTGCTTGATCATATGATAATGTGTATTTCTTGCATCTTGTATATTGTGTGTCTTGACAGTCAGTTTCTTCTTGTGTAACGAGATTTATACTATATTTATGAAGTTTTTTAAACTGCATGTGTGTAGAGTTTTTTGCTTCGTTTCATTTTTACTGTTTTCTGCTCAGGGAATCTGGTGTGTGTGTGTGTGTGTGTGTGTGTGTGTGTGTGTTCGTTCGTATGTGTGAGAGAGAGAGAAAGAGGGGGAGTGGGGGATGCCAAATATGTTGATTTATTTTCCCAGTGTGGCTTTTTATAAAAAATTTTGCCCCTGTTCCTCTTACTGACAGCACTCTTACTGCTTATTTCACTATGAAATATTGTTGGTGAACAATAATGATTGAAAACAATATCATTATCCCATTTCTTTAAATAATAAGCTGAAGTAAATTTCTTTGGGATGCCGTGGCCTGCTGTGGCTTGAAAAATAGATTTTGCTTTGGCTTGCACTTGTGCTTATGCATAAAAATTTTGACCCAGTTCTACTACAAATATGCATGTTGAGAAGGTTTTTAAGTTATCTGCATGGTGAGAGTATGCTTACTTTTTCTAGGTGATAATGAAGGGAGAAGAAGCTGTGGATGCTGGGGGAGTGAGAAAGGTATGTTTGGTGTGTTGTGATGGCTTATTCATGATTTTACTTCAGGGTATTTCTGGCTTTCTCGTTCTAGGTGGTGTTTTTGGGTGAGGAAGCTCAGGATGAAGGTGGAGTGAGAAAGGTGTCTGCAAATTGAAAATTATTTCATATTTTGACCATGTTTTTTATTATTTGACTTTGTTTATATGATTATTATTTTTTATGGAGTATGTTCTTATAGTTTCCAAGTTTGTGTGTTAATGCTTGTTTTAGATTTTTACACATCAGGTTATATTAAGGTGTTCCACTGTTATATTAATGAAATGCTTATTTTAATTAGAATTGTAATATGATCACCAGTTGATTTTATCAAGTTTCTTGATTTTAAGTGAAGCACTTGCCAAAAGACAACAATTTCACATTATCTTACATCATATGTGTTTTGTCATTTTTGTTTACTGTATCTTGGGGTTTTGTAGGAGTTTTTCTTGCTGCTGTTGAGAGAAATCTTAGACCCCAAATATGGCATGTTTAGGTACTATGAAGAGTCTCGAATGATTTGGTTCAATAACAAGGTATGGCTCAACAACATTTATTTAGCAGTTTTATTTTGTATGCTGAAAAAGCTTCAGTGACTATAAGGTAATATTTTGGAAATTATTCTATACCATCCTTTTTCCCCCAGAATAGTAGGGGAGCATTATGTCAACTTTTGGGGGTTCATTTAACACCATTCTTTTGTTTAATATTCTACCAGTTTAAATCTGCTATAAATTCATAATTGAATATCTTTGCAGACATTTGAAGATCCGGTCATGTTCTTTCTTATTGGGGTTCTCTGTGGTCTTGCCATTTACAACAACACAATCATTGATCTGCCTTTTCCTCAAGCACTCTACAAAAAACTACTGAAGAGGTATGGGATACATAATGATCATTTTTTTCAAAATTTTTTACAGATTAAAATCTGATTTGTAATCCAAGCAGTAAATGTTTCAGTTTTTACCAGAAATGATCAAAATAGTTTCAACTAAAATTTAGTTTTTGTGTTCAAAAGCTGAAACTTTATTGTAATCCCCCCTCCCCCCTTATCTTTTGCATTTTTGTGTTGACAAAGTAGAGGGAGATGATATTAAAGAGATTTTGTTGAGTGAAGTGAGGTTGCTTCATAAACATCTGCCTATGAAAGTTAAGCCTAAACCATGATTCTGTATTTTGTGTGTTATTGAAGCATAATAACTTAATTTTATCATTCCTAGACCTGTTGTGATGGATGACCTCAGGGAACTCATGCCAGATGTTGCCAAGTAAGATTAACCTTCAGTTCACCCCAGAGAGAGAGAGACTATTTTAGAACTTTTAGCCTTGGCTTTAAAAGACAATATTCATGTGACCTGAAGATAATGTGCAGTTGCACCTGCTCTAGAAAGTATTTAAATTGGATAGAATGCCCTGGTAGTATCCATTTAATGGCAATTCTCTAAAAATGCATATGATTCCAAGGGAATTTTTTTCTTTTTAAGAAACATGCAAGAACTCCTGGATTATGAAGATGATGTTCAAGAAGCATTCTGCCTCAATTTTGTGGTAAGCTTATTTCTTATCTTTTGACAATGAATGACCAAAGTAAAATGCTTTATAAAAGGAAACATTTTAAGGAGGGTTATTGCTATCTGTTTTGAAGGTTTTGACTGTATTTTTTACAGATTGTTCAAGACAACTTTGGAGAGCCAGAGCATATTGAACTGATACCAGACGGAGCCAACATTGATGTCACTGCCGAAAACAGGTGAAATTTTTTATCTTTAAATAGTTAATAATTGCCTTCATTTAAGCATTTAACACAAATTGTAGATGATAGAATGACATAATAGAATAAAAATTACGCTTAGTCTAGTTTCTAGGTGTGAACCTTTGGCTGTACCAGTACTTTCTATTTACAGACATCAATATATAGATGCCTACATTGATCACATCTTTAACAAATCTGTGCAAACACAATTTGAAGCTTTCCATACTGGCTTTCTAAAAGTTTGTGGAGGACGAGTGATGGTAAGTTATCACCATTTGCTCTTAATTATGGAGTTGTTTTCTCTGCATTACCTGAGATCATTTTAAAGTAATCGGAAAACAGAAGAAAATTAGCTTGAGTACAGCAGCTAATTTTTATGTACAGACACAGATGTGTCTGTACATATTGCCATCACCTGCGTCTGTCGTCACCGTCGCCGATGCCGATGGCGATGCCGATGCCGGCNTGCTTTTTCATTCCAGTGTCATTGTATACTGTATGTATTAATGAAATATAATGATGATAGCAATGAAACTGTATATTCATAGATAAATTGATTTATATTTACTTTAAATTTGATCACTGTTGAAAAGTTACCTTTATATACAGTTCACTTCTTAGTATGGTCTGTATATTATTAAATGTTTTCATCTGGCATTAATCTTTTCCTATCTTTTCCTAAGCTTGCTGTATAGAAATATACACCATGGAATGATGATTGCTCTGCTTGATCATATGATAATGTGTATTTCTTGCATCTTGTATATTGTGTGTCTTGACAGTTAGTTTCTTCTTGTGTAACGAGATTTATACTATATTTATGAAGTTTTTTAAACTGCATGTGTGTAGAGTTTTTTTGCTTCGTTTCATTTTTACTGTTTTCTGCTCAGGGAATCTGGTGTGTGTGTGTGTGTGTGTGTGTTCATTCGTATGTGTGATAGAGAGAGAAAGAGGGGATGCCAAATATGTTGATTTATTTTCCCAGTGTGGCTTTTTATAAAAAATATTTGCCCCTGTTCCTCTTACTGACAGCACTCTCACTGCTTATTTCACTATGAAATATTGTTGGTGAACAGTAATGATTGAAAACAATACCATTATCTCATTTCTTTAAATAATGAGCTAAAGAAAATTTCTTTGGGATGCCGTGGCCTGCTGTGGCTTGAAAAATAGATTTTGCTTTGGCTTGCACTTGTGCTTATGCATAAAAATTTTGACCCAGTTCTACTACAAATATGCATGTTGAGAAGGTTTTTAAGTTATCTGCATGGTGAGAGTATGCTTACTTTTTCTAGGTGATAATGAAGGGAGAAGAAGCTGTGGATGCTGGGGGAGTGAGAAAGGTATGTTTGGTGTGTTGTGATGGCTTATTCATGATTTTACTTCAGGGTATTTCTGGCTTTCTCGTTCTAGGTGGTGTTTTTGGGTGAGGAAGCTCAGGATGAAGGTGGAGTGAGAAAGGTGTCTGCAAATTGAAAATTATTTCATATTTTGACCATGTTTTTTATTATTTGACTTTGTTTATATGATTATTATTTTTTATGGAGTATGTTCTTATAGTTTCCAAGTTTGTATGTTAATGCTTGTTTTAGATTGTTACACATCAGGTTATATTAAGGTGTTCCAGTGTTATATTAATGAAATGCTTATTTTAATTAGAATTGTAATATGATCACCAGTTGATTTTATCAAGTTTCTTGATTTTAAGTGAAGCACTTGCCAAAAGACAACAATTTCACATTATCTTACATCATATGTGTTTTGTCATTTTTGTTTACTGTATCTTGGGGTTTTGTAGGAGTTTTTCTTGCTGCTGTTGAGAGAAATCTTAGACCCCAAATATGGCATGTTTAGGTACTATGAAGAGTCTCGAATGATTTGGTTCAATAACAAGGTATGGCTCAACAACATTTATTTAGCAGTTTTATTTTGTATGCTGAAAAAGCTTCAGTGACTATAAGGTAATATTTTGGAAATTATTCTATACCATCCTTTTCCCCCCAGAATAGTAGGGGAGCATTATGTCAACTTTTGGTGGTTCATTTAACACCATTCTTTTGTTTAATATTCTACCAGTTTAAATCTGCTATAAATTCATAATTGAATATCTTTGCAGACATTTGAAGATCCGGTCATGTTCTTTCTTATTGGGGTTCTCTGTGGTCTTGCCATTTACAACAACACAATCATTGATCTGCCTTTTCCTCAAGCACTCTACAAAAAACTGCTGAAGAGGTATGGGATACATAATGATCATTTTTTCAATTTTTTTTTTACAGATTAAAATCTGATTTGTAATCCAAGCAGTAAATGTTTCAGTTTTAACCAGAAATGATCAAGATAGTTTCAACTAAAATTTAGTTTTTGTGTTCAAAAGCTGAAACTTTATTGCAATCCCCCCTCCCCCGTATCTTTTGCATTTTAAAACTGTGTTGACCAAGTAGAGGGAGATGATATTAAAGAGATTTTGTTGAGTGAAGTGGGGTTGCTTCATAAACATCTGCCTATGAAAGTTAAGCCTAAACCATGATTCTGTATTTTGTGTGTTATTGAAGCATAATAACTTAATTTTATCATTCCTAGACCTGTTGTGATGGATGACCTCAGGGAACTCATGCCAGATGTTGCCAAGTAAGATTAACCTTCAGTTCACCCCAGAGAGAGAGAGAGAGACTATTTTAGAACTTTTAGCCTTGGCTTTAAAAGACAATATTCATGTGACCTGAAGATAATGTGCAGTTGCACCTGCTCTAGAAAGTATTTAAATTGGATAGAATGCCCTGGTAGTATCCATTTAATGGCAATTCTCTAAAAATGCATATGATTCCAAGGGAATTTTTTTCTTTTTAAGAAACATGCAAGAACTCCTGGATTATGAAGATGATGTTCAAGAAGCATTCTGCCTCAATTTTGTGGTAAGCTTATTTCTTATCTTTTGACAATGAATGACCAAAATAAAATGCTTTATAAAAGGAAACATTTTAAGGAGGGTTATTGCTATCTGTTTTGAAGGTTTTGACTGTATTTTTTACAGATTGTTCAAGACAACTTTGGAGAGCCAGAGCATATTGAACTGATACCAGACGGAGCCAACATTGATGTCACTGCCGAAAACAGGTGAAATTTTTTATCTTTAAATAGTTAATAATTGCCTTTATTTAAACATTTAACACAAATTGTAGATGATAGAATGACATAATAGAATAACAATTACACTTAGTCTAGTTTCTAGGTGTGAACCTTTGGCTGTACCAGTACTTTCTATTTACAGACATCAATATATAGATGCCTACATTGATCACATCTTTAACAAATCTGTGCAAACACAATTTGAAGCTTTCCATACTGGCTTTCTAAAAGTTTGTGGAGGACGAGTGATGGTAAGTTATCACCATTTGCTCTTAATTATGGAGCTGTTTTCTCTGTATTACCTGAGATCATTTTAAAGTAATCAGAAAACAGAAGAAAATTAGCTTGAGTACAGCAGCTAATTTTTGATAATTCCCCTTTATATGAATGATGACATGAATTGCAACAGCTTTGTGTATGTAATTGTAATGTTGTTCAACCTAAGGTATTCTTGTCTTATATCAACTTTTATGTTATACAGTTATTTCAAAGAAAATGTTTAATCTGGATACTAAGAAAATATTATCCAAATACCAACCTCCCTCCTGTTATATAGGACCTATTTCACCCAGCAGAGCTTCAGGCCATGGTGGTTGGAAATGAAAACTATGACTGGGAAGAATTGGAAAAGGTGATCACATTTTTCTTTCACTTAGATTTACTTGTCATGTTATTTTTATATGTGGTAAATCAAGTTTAGACCAATTCATCTTAGTCAATTTATTTCTACTCGAGTTTGTATATAGACATCCTAAAAAAGTAATCAGAAGCATGCTTTGTCAGATTTAACTATGTTGTGCAAATGTGCTAAATGGAGAACTTTACTTTTTAGACTGCAGAATACAAAGGGGAATACTGGAGAAATCATCATACCATCAAAATTTTCTGGGAAGTCTTTAGAGAGATGACAGTTTCACAGAAGAAGAAATTTCTATGTAAGCACTGTGCTTTAAAATGTTAAAATCAAGTACTTCTTTCAATCAATTTTTCAATCTATTCAATCCCATATAGAGTACCTTTAATGTTTTATTTCTGGTGCCTTTAAATTGAACTTTAAATATATGTAAGGTGACACTACGAACAGAAATTACTTTTTTCCTTGGTTTGGAGAAGGTATGGAAACTGTTCACCAAGCTGTTAACTAAAAATTTGCGTTCTTTTTACTGTTTCAGTATTTCTCACAGGCTCTGACAGAATTCCAATTCTTGGTATGAAGGCAGTCAAGGTAAATATGCATTGGACTCAGTTTATCCTCAGTCAACACTATATTATATATCTTAGAAGTAGTGATTTAGCTTTACATCTGATTTTTTTTTTTTTTTTTTTTTTTTTGGTTGGTTTGGGAATTTTTTTTTTTTTTTTTTTTTTTTAAAATTTTTATGGAAATATACATTTTGTCTATGTTATTCCTCAGAGTCTTCTGCCATCTTTAGGACAGATCGTCTTGTTTGTTCAAAATCAGTCTTTGAAACAAAGAATATCTATTTGCAAAACAAACATCATGGAGGTCCATTTTTATCCATTCGGAAAAAAAAAAGATACATGTTGTATTGTCAAGCCAGTTCTCATTCAGTTCCGATGCAAAAAGGATAAGAGCAATTTAAATAGTAATTCTACAACTTTGATTATGGAAAAAATGATGTCTAGCAGGTGATGATGACTCACCAAACTGTACTTTTGNTTTTTTTTTTTTTTTTTTTTTTGTCTTTTTTTTTTTTTTTTTTTTTTTTTTTGGTTGGTTTGGGTAATTTTCATTATTTTATTTGTTATTATTTCCTAATGAAAAACTTTTATTTTTTTAAAGATCTTTATCCAGCCTACAGGAGGTGGAGAGGACTATTTACCAGTTGCTCACACATGCTTCAATCTCTTGGACTTGCCAAAGTTTACCAATAAAGACAAATTAAGGCAGAAACTTCTCCAGGCCGTAGAACAGAGTGAAGGATTTGGGTTGGTTTGAAACAGCTATATGTGATGAAGGCCATGATTTAAGTGGTCCATAATCATGAATGTAGCAAGGTTTCCTGGATTTGGTGTTTAATTCTGAAAACTGGGTTGGATACTAGTACTTGTAAGATATGATGTATATTTTAGCTCACACAAGTGTCAACCTTATACCAGCTGTGATAAAAGGATTATCCAACTTTTGCATTGCATCGTCTTTTTTATGTTAACAGAAATATTTTCAATATTTTTGTATGGGTCATTTCAACCAGTGAAAGTTTCAGATATTTTTGATTTTTGCAGTAATTTGCAATTTTTAATACACTCTACTGGACAATTAGGGTGTGATTTTACTGGACTTGAGTTAAGACTGGTTTAAGGGCTGACTTACACAAATTTTGAGTCCATGGATTTCAGATCCCTTGAAATCTTAATCTTAGCGATGGGTTATAGAATTTGCTGAAGCCCCCCCCCCCCCCCTCTTCATGACTTCCATCTATTTTCAGCTGTTTTATACGAAAATTACCACTTCGGTAACTCCTTACAATGGAATGAAATAAAATGAATCCCCTGAAAAGAAGAAAATGCCTAACCTTGTGGACATTTTCCAGATGAATTAAGTGAAAAGGCATACAGAATATTAAATTTAGTTAACCACTTATTCAAGTTCAATTTTAAGAGGCCCATCTTAACATATCTTAACAATATGAGGTATGTGGGGATGTTTTATTCTGCATGCAAATTCAGTTGTTTTAAATGCAAGTCTTAAAATGATACAGTTATTACCAAGGTCGAATTTGCTTGGTTTTTACAGACTGAATGTCAGTTAATACTCTACATTGTGTATGTGAGGAAAACCCCTTGATTTATTTATTCATCAATGATAATAAATGTGATGGAAAATATAATTATAAACAAACAATATTTTGTCATTACACATACCTTTTTTTATTTGTTTGTACAAAATAAAGTTTTAATGCTAAGAAAAAATCTTCAAGCATTTTCCCTTTACAGCAGACATGAGGCTGAAATAAAAGCCTCAAAATAGATGATTGACTGATTAAGAGCATAAAACTCTTAATATTCCATCATGTAAAAATGTAACTTAAAGCATAAATTTCCTGTAACACATAAATCCTTACTACCAGTTTCCTACACAAATTGAGTCCAAGTGCCAAACGATAAACCAAATTAATCACTTGGTAAGCCAAAAAATGGCTTTAAAACTGCACCTTTAACTTTTTTTGTCATAAATTTGACCTACTCTCCAGTCCTTCCAGTTCTTAAAAGCCCGCCAAATGATGTAGTCCTGTTTGATGTCTAACTGATGCATGTGAAATAGCATAAATCAAATGAGAGGTGACAAAAATGACCAGGTATCATGTATGGCATAGAAAGTAAGCAAAAAACATCTATTTAAATATTTTTCGGGAATAATAAAACTCTGAGGTATACCTATTAATTGCTTAACTGAAATATATGGTGGCGTATGTCATATTTAAGGGCAATAATTTGACATGCCTTCTTGCTTTGTATGCATCCTTTTAAAATTCATATATCTGTCAAACATTACACGCATAATACTGATTTATTTAAAAAAAAAAAAAAAAGAAAAACTAATACTCCAGATTTTGCACTTTGGCATTATCAGCAGGTATGAATATGAACTTAATTTCCTGGCCCTGGCCTGTCCCTTCACCAAGTGTGATGGTCTGCTGTTTAGGTGATGCCCCTGAGTGAGTTTGCTGGACGGCCATAGTCTCGGACTCCGAGGTGACCACTGACATCTGACCAGAGTGACCTGATAATAGACTGCTACCTGTGTGTATTGGCTGTGTATGATCAGCACTGCTCTCCAGCCGCAATAGCTCTTGCTGAATGTTATCCTCACTGGTTGAGTAGTCCGTGGGGTGGGGGTGGTCATTCCCCTCCCCACCATGAAGACTTGATATGGCCATCTCTACACCATCCATGTTTGAGGAAGGCAACAGAAAAGTACTGTCCATAACATGAGATGTTGGAACTTTGGTCAACTGACCAGAAGGCTGGACAACATAAAACGGTTCATGGGATTTCATATGCTCTTCTAGTTTGTTCCGTCGATAGAACCCGCGATGGCACAGGCTACATTTGTAAGTAAACTGATGATTATGCACAGCATCCATGTGCTGCTTAAGATTGGATTTCAGGGTAAACGTTTTATCGCACTCTGGGCACTGTACTCTCTCCACGCTGTTAGTCTCGTGAATCAGTCTTACATGTCTCCGCATGTTGGGACCTTCAAAAAAGCCTTTACCACAATAAGCACAAGTGTGAGACTTCTTCCCAGTATGTGTCTTTTTGTGTTTGTAGAGAGTTTTAGCAGTAGTGACTACCTTGTGACATTCGTCACATTCATAATGTTTGTTACGTATGTGTGCATCTTGAATGTGATCCTGCAGATAGCGTGCATGTTTGAACGACCTGGGGCACAGGTGACACAGGTGCCTTTCTTTTAACTGGTGCACTCTGTACTTGTGCTCTTTTAATAACTGTTCACTGTTGTAGGCTTTGAAGCATTCGTCACAGTGATAGGATCCAAGTTTTTCACTGTGACATCTTTCTGTATGAGTATGTAGATTCACCACCGAAGCACCACATAGCATACAGATCACCTTGGAATTCCCTTTCACAGCATTTAGATATGCAGACTCTTTTGGATGTTTTATACTTATATGAACAGATAGATTTTTCTTGGATGTAAACCACCTCTTGCACAAGTTACACTGATCATTTCTTATGATCGTTTTCCTTTTTGTTTCTGCTTTAAGACGAGATATATAGTTTTCAAAATTATTATCTTTCTGATGTGCTCTCTGGACATGTACAGCAAGTCTATTTCTTGCTAAAGTTTTCCCACAAATTTCACATTCTGCAATTTCCACATTTAATTTTTGCTTGTTATTCTCTAGATCAAAATTCCCCACCTCGACTGGTCCTAATCCCTCTACATCTTCAGTTGATACTAAACTGCTCTCACAGACCTTTGAACTATCATAATCTAAGAATTCCCCTTTTATTTCCTTAAGCAGTGTAGAAGGTTTCTTCTGTCTGGAACTCCTCCGTCTGGCAAATGTCTGAACATCATCCACAGATCGACTTTTCTCTTCGTCTACATCCTTACTTTCTATAGGCACTGCTTCTGTTTCAATGATACCTAGAATATAACATATAATTTACTCATACTTCCAATACAAATTTGAGTGTATATAGCTATATGAAGGCTTTAACAGCCAAGGAAATAGTGAACTACAAAGCACGACAAATTCCATCACATTTACACAACAGTAAGCACAGATGGAAAGAGAACAACTGTTGGACTTTTACAATTTTTATTTATTTTATAAAAATGATAATGAACTTCTATTTCTTACTCACCATCATTATATGATGAAGGTTCAGCTGAATAACTTTCAAGGTGACTGACAGTCTGTAAATGATGTAGTTTGCGCTTTTTGCTTTTAGTCTTCTTTGTTAGTCTTGTGACATTGTCCGTTTTATGACTTAAAGTGTTTGGAGCAGCATTTTCCTCTCGATATCCATCTTTAAATACTTTCCTTTCCTCTTTTGTTCTGACAATTTCACTAATACGAAGTATTTTGCAACAGTACCTTTTTTCGAAATCACTGGCTATATTGCCAGAAAACATTAATTTTAAGCTTGGTGGCTTCTCGGGAACAGACTCGGTGATCTTTTGAATTTCTATTCGTCCATTCTCATGATTTTGCTCGTCAAGTGACGTGTAAGATATAATACTTTGCGTGCTTTGGCTGTCTAACTGAGATATACACTGAAAGAATGTCTCTGGCAACCACAGCTCTAAACCAGACACGCGATTTTCGGTGTTTTCCATGGACAAAAAAAGTTTGAAGTTTACTCGCTGTCTGAATGTTTTCGGTCGTAGTGGTTAACGAAAGAGGTGCCCGGATGAACAAGATAAGCCGGTACCTAAACTTGCCCTGAGACGAAAGAGGGGAAACTGTGACGTCATGCCAGGTCATGTTCGAAACCTAGTCTACTTTGTGTAAACGTTATTAATTAAAAATTGTAACTTATTTATTTATTTATTTATGAAACGATGTACTCATTTGTCAATGTCCACAACTGTACCTTATTTATGGAGGTGCATATGTCAGTAAAGCAACCACAATCTGAATCATAAATATGCCCCTACACATAACGAAACCGAAAAAAGCCGGAAAAATACCACCTGATCAACATAGGCCTATGACTTCACTGGAAATGCCACAAATGATAAGGATATAAGTGCGCTCTACCGCTCATATGAACATCAGACCATTGCATAACATTTAAAGATGCAAGATACACATAGGCCTACGCTAGAAATGACACCAGAGGAAGGTGGAGTTATTTCCACAAGACGCCGTGATGAACGGCGGCATATCTTGCTTTCGTCGACCGGGGAATCAGTGGTCGAGGCTGACAAGGTAAATTAAACATAAGATTTCCTTAAATTTCAGCTGTGGCATTTGAAAGTGTTCTTATTTCTCTTACGATTCTCTGACCGATTTCAGATACTGATAGCGTGTTGTTTCATACGATAAGTATGGGCCTATGTAGACCTACTAGTTAACAGTAGGCTACTTAGTAACCCAAGCTTATATATTCCCTCATATAGGCCTACTGAACCTTGGGTCTACCCTCTGATATATCAGTGACCCACTAAAATACAGTACAGTAGGCCTAAGACTGTGCGTCGGAGAGAGAACTAAAACGTCATATAGTGCTCAGTGACCGGAGTGACCTACGTTCTCTACTACACGAAATCTGGGCAAACCTGCCGCTATATTATGAAAGCGGGCACCTTCCAGACCTTCAAACGGCACCTGGCAGGACTCGGTTAATGGTTGCGTCTTGCAACCTGCAAGACGCAACCATTAACCGAGTCCATTAACCAAGGCAACTAGCAACCAAACCTCACCAGAAGTAGTCCGACAACGCAACTGATTTTCTGGCACGTAGTTGTCGAAAAATTGTACATTTTGTCATATGAAGCATTTTCAAAGAAACATGTGAGCGATGAGTAATCTAGACGAAACCGAAAAGGCAATTTTCATTCGTTAGTGATCCAAGCTAGACGACAGGGCAATGTCTTTATTATTCGTTAAAGGGACCGTCAGCAGGAGATCGTCACCGATCAGATCGAGACGAGAAGGGAATTTTTCTATTTGTTCAAGGGACTATATTAGCGGAAGATCGTCAGGGGAAAACCTGCACATTTTTTATGACTCTCTATTTTAAAAATCAAATTTAATTTTTAAATTATTTTCAAAGGAATCAATTCTGATAAAAATAAGCCATTAAATTGATTATGTTGATGAACTAAAACATTTTTTTTTCAGATCTTTTCTATTCCAACTTTAGGCATTGATATCAGCGAGGTGTACAGAAATGGAACTTATTATTGTATGGTACACGCTGTCAATGAAGACAAAGGTTTGGGATTACAGTGAGTACATCTTATTGGTGATGGCTGTCTGCATTAGTGGTGGATCCAGGATTTCAATTTCAAGAGGGTTATGTATTCAAGCGCCCGGGTTAAGACTAAATGACGCTATTCACCTATAGTCTACAGTTAAGCATATTTCAACTATATCCTATTTATTTATTTTCTATATTTTCCTGATTTATTAACTGTTATATTTGTATTTCATTTAAATTTAGGAAAAATGACGAAATACTCGCCATACGACTCGAAAAGGAGTTTGTATCTCTTTCTAAAGATATCGCGGAACTTTTCAACAAAGACGTCGTTGAGATGGATACTTTTGTGTTGGTAAGTTATTCAAGCTCGTTTAAAATTTCTTATGGACTCCAGACCATGGGCGTCCGCAGAAAATTTTCTAGGGGGGGGGGTCAAAGTCATTGAAGGGGGAGAGATAATGATTGGCTGGGTATCCGCAATAAAAATGCAGTTCCCATTGAGATCCCCCCCCCCCCCGGGACGCCTATGCCCCAGACCTCAATTGAAGAGACTCACAGCGCATATTCTAGGCCTGTTAGTTTCCGCAATTGTACAAGACAAAATAACAGTAAAGGTACAATGAATCGTACAGATTTTAGGTCGCTTAAAAGATGTATTGACCCGATTTCTCTTCTTTAGTTTTTGTACACGGTTAAAAAAACACAGAGAAATATAGCAGACAGGATAAAGCATTTAAAGATTATTTACAAGTGTTTTTTTTTTCGTCTTACTCTTGCAGCCAAATCATAAGAAACAATCAAAACTATGTATTCTAAAATAAATAAAATAAACAAAAGACATTTGTTTTCCTGATTCCTTTGTTTGAAGAACGTGCTGCATTATTTTGCTTTTGTTGCGCTTCATAGATAATTCGCAGACTCAATAAAGAATCGGAAGAGGAAGTAGAATTCCTTTACTACAAAATCGAAGTTAAAGTTGACATTTTGAGGGGTAGAGGTACGTTTTCACGTTCTCTTTCCAGAAAAGGCCTTATTCCCTAAACTAACCAATAAAAGCAATTAAATTAAAGAAATAATTTGTAATCGGAATATTGGTTTATTGCATAGTGTAAGAATATAAAACATTGGATTTTTAACTTATTAGCTAACTAAATTCACTAAAGTAAATGATTTAATTCTGTTGTTTGTGTTTTGCAGGAGGAGAGGATATTATAAACTTCGTTGTGTCGAGATCGCTGCTTGCAGTGATTGACATCGTCATTCCCGGTCACGGAGAGATATCTGATGTCAAATCCGGCACTGTTACAACTTGCAATATCAAAAGCCTGCAGTCCGGAGATTTCATAGCACCAAACGCCAGTGGTCAACCTGTTGACACCCCTCATCAGCGTAAGATTTCGGATCGACATTTTATGTTCGTTTTTCATTAATTAAAAAGCCCTTTTTTTTCGCAGGGAAAACGATGGTGATGGTTTACAATGTAATACTTGCTGCTTTTCAACTTTTCTATTTCTTTTATTTCTTTTTCTTATAAGAGAAGCGTTTTTTCCGTTTACTTATTGGACGTGAACTTAGCTTGATTCCACACCAAAAACTAGCATATTCTTTTCAATCATGGAGTATAAAGCATTTTAGTTCGAAATTAAACAATATCCGTAGCAGTGGTAGTAGCAACAATAACAATTCAGAAAAGTCTTCTCTTTTAGACAAACTGCAAGTTTTGTCTTATTCGGGAACCGACAACAGACGAGATCAAGATGGAAACGTTGTTTATGTGTTTATCATAAAAGACTCATCGAACGGCCACGTGCTGTGTGTTGACGGTGATGGAGTTAAGTTTGAGGTAATTTGAACAATCAATTTAATGACTTCTCTTAAGTTATTGAATCTGATAGATTCCTTTTGGTCGGACGGTTTTTTTTTTTTTTTTGTTATACAGCGCACGTTAAAATACATTTTATTGCATTGTTTTAAATGCTGACAACTTCAAATTCAAAGATCGTAGTCCACACTCGTACTCAATAAACATTCAGTTGTTTATTGTTTAGAGAAGAAGTTTATTCTAGGCAATATTCATGCAGTGTTTTAAGAGTTAGACGAAAATGGTTAACAAAATTTCCAAAGTAATTAAGACTCTGAGACGAAGCAGAATATGTAACAGATTCGATAAAGTATAACTGGGTGGGTTCAACAATGAAAAGGGCCCTTGAAATTGCAAATATTAAAGCATTCTCATTAGTGACTCATATTTTCTCCAGGGAACAAATGTGCCAAACAGTGCGGAGATTCGATCAAAGACAACTGTGCAGAATTCGTATTTCCTCGGTCGCCGATACAATGAGAATATCTGGTACTTCGAATCCCTGATTAAACCAGGTAGGCCCTACTCTCTCTCTCTCTCTCTCACACACACACACACACACACACACACACACACACACAGACGCACAAACTATTTTTTTACCCTGAGGACTTTTTGCTATAAATCTTTTGACACAAAGATCATGCTCTATCCGATGTACAACGCCTTTGGGATTTTCAGGTTACTTTCTCAACAGCACAGACACCGAGGTCACACTCAAAAAGTTACACATCAATACGCGCCAACCGCTTGAGCAAGATGTGTTGTTCCAGTTGTTTCGTCGAAACGAAAGAGGGCGCCACAAGCTTTTGACCATGACTGGCAACGAATTTGTTGAGGCTGAGGAAGACCACGACCGTGTCAACAAGCCCATGTGGAGGGAATGTTTTGGTTTTTTATGTTGTTGTCGTCGTTATTAACGCTCGAGCTTGCGTTGTTTGCTGTGTTATGTGGACCACAGTCACCCCCGCAGATCCTAACTTTCAGTAGACACTGAAAGCTAACCTACCGTACAAGCCGCACGTGGGTCTGATTAATTATTGGCCAGTTCGTGAACATTTGATGTTACATAGACAATGCTTTGAAGCGATTTCAAGAGTATCTTTATTTAAAATGAGTTTTGAAATCGCCTTTTTCAGTTGAATTTCGACGTGTGAAGTTGTTGCATGGTATCATTTCTTTTTTATGCAGTTAGGGTATAGGTTATCAAAGAAAGTTGAGATCTGGTAATAAAAGGTCTACATAATGGTTGTTTGGACGAATTTTAAAATTATTAAGTATATATTTGACGACAATGACTAAGTAAGCATGTGATCATTTCATGGATATCAATCAAAAAAAGGTATTTCTGGCATTTATTTATTTATATTTTATATATTAGAACATTGATTATATGACTCAGTATTTGCCATAGCATTTATTATTTTCGTATTGACTCAGACGCCTTTTAGGTGTCTCTTTAAGATGACTGATTTTTTTCTTTTCCTTTTTCATAATGGCAGCGAATGACAGTGGGACCGGTATTGCTTTTTCAGTTATGTGTTTAGTTGACGTCAGAATGGAAAAAACTGATTGATCTGCCAGAATTAAGTGGTTTATCAAAAGAAATGGTAGGAATACGTGACTGCAATGGAAAGTAAATTTTTTTCTTTGGTATTAGCTGAATCTTAAAAACATTGACAAACTCGAATCAAAAGTTACCGGTGCTAAGAAACCGAGCGTCTGTGTAACCTGGGGCCCACCAAGGTGAAGGGCCTAACAGAGTGTCCGCCCTCCATATATAGCTTAGCATTAGCGTGACTAAATGAGTCAAAACCTTAGACGGTTTTTTCCTGCGTACGGATGGATGTGAACCAGACCCTATATCGCAGATTACTGTCTCACATGACACTGATCCATTCCGAGTTATGAGTCTACTGACTTTATATTTGTATTAATCGTAGTATTAGGTTGTAAAATGTGTTCCATTTATCTTTTTTATACAATAGCAGCGATAAAATTTGTATTTTTACTGTTTGTGATAAAAGTGCATGATAAGAGATGAATGATGCATATGTTATACATGTGCACGTGTTTAGAACGTGTCCCAAAGCACTCATAGTACCTATCTTGAATGTCTCTAACCAGTGTTAAAACGTTCTAGAACAAATAGGCTTAACAAGTGCCAAATAATATGGGGTGTGGTAGCATGGCCAAATATCATCTTCCAGGTCACTGCATTTTGGAAAACAAAAGTCTTTCTAAAATCAAACTCCTTCAATACGAAATAACATGTATAAGTTGCTACGTTTGGTGTCATTGGGGATCGGTTGGCAGACGCCCGAGCCCACCCGTTTCCTATACATTATACTGCTAAGTACCCCCTTTGCATCACTTCTGTCCTCTCAGTGGTGTTTTTGCAGCATCTTATGTTTTTTCAATTATATTCAACGTGTGTGTGTATATGCTTTTGACAGACTTTGAAATATGTCCTTTTTCATTATTTTTGTATTTTCTAAAATTGATGCCAGTCTTTTTTTAGTTTGTTTCCCCGGCTATGAATGTGGGGGTCTAATGATTTTATGCCTGGCGTTATTGTAATTAAGTTCATTCTATTACAATAACGCCAGGCATTATTGTAATAAAGTTCATTTTGCTTTTTTTTTTCAGAAAATAGCAGCGGCCGAGCTGCCGTTTCATTTGCTGGTCAGAATGTTATACTATTTTATACCGTGATACGTCGTATCACATATTATGAAAGTCATTTTTTGTGCGATTAGTGTCAATAAAATAATAACCACCAGCTGCACGGAAGATTGTATGTTTTTTTCATCATTTCTATATATATATATATATATATATATATATATATATATATATATATATATATATATATATATATATATATTCGTGTTGACCTTATCCGTCCATATGTGCGCAGACAAACGACCCCAACCGGACTTTGGTTGATTGTGATACTGCATGTACGAAGAGCACAGAGAAACTTTTTTCTAGATGTTAACTCTGGTTATCTGTTCTGTGGTCGGCGAGGATTTTACCAAAAACTAGGTCCTCACTCAGCTGGCCCCTTAACTTCAGAGTAATAACAGAGTAACTCAAGCAAACCCACTGACACTGGGACAGCACGCGAGGTACGGGATCTAACTCTGGAAAAGACTCTGATCTTTTGAATTTCTATTATTCCATTCTCATGATTTTGCTCGTCAAGTGATGTGTAAGATATAATACACGTCACTTAAGCAAAATTATGAGAATGGACTAATATATAATACTTTGCGTGCTTTAGGTGTCTAACTGAGGTATACACTGAAAGAATGTCTCTGGCAACCACAACTCTAAGCCAGACACGCAATTTTCAATGTTTTCCATAGACAAATAAAAGTCTTTGATTGCACCTTATTTGAAACTGAATCATACATGCACATAACGAAACCGGAAAAAATAGCCGGAAAAATGCCACGTGATCAACATATCACATATGACTTCACTGGAAATTCCACAATCGGTCAGTACAACGGATGTAAGTACGTCCTATCGCTCATATGAACATCAGATCATTGCATAACATTTAAAGATGCAAAATACACATACGATAGAAATGACACCAGAAGAAGGTGGAGTTATTTCCACAAGACGCCGTGATGAACAGTGTCATGTCTTGCTTTCGTCGACCAGGGAATCGGTAGTCGAGGATGGCAAGGTAAATTAAACGATGAGAGTTTTCCTACATTCCAGTTGTGGCATTTGAAAGTTATTGGCTTAATTCTTATTTCTCTTACGATTCTCTGTCCGATTTCAGACTCTGATATCAATAAGATAGCGCGATGTTTCATTACACGCGACATGCAGACCTATAGGCCTACATGGCCCTAATAGTACTAGTGCTAACTCAAGCTTATATATTCCCACATAGACTTTGGGCCCACCCTCTGATATCATGGACCCACTAAAATAGTGTACAAAATCACACTGTACGTCGTGGAGAACACTAAAATATCAAATACATAATGCACGCCGAAAAAAAAGTGCTCAGTGACCGGAGTGACCTACATTCGGCACAAAAAAGTGTAGGCCCTAAACGAAGTCTAAGCAATGTTACCGTTAAATTATGAAAACGGACACCTTCCAGACCTTCAAACGGCACCCGACGGGGCTCGGCATTATATTAATGTTGTGTTTTCAACAGACAACCAAACCTCACCAGAAGTTGTCCGACAACACAACTGATTTCCTGGCACGTAGTTGTGCCGAGGCACACTGTCTGAAATTTGTGCATTTTATCATTTAAACCATCTGCAAACAAACGTGATCGATGAATAATATAAACGAAACTGAAAGAGCGATTATCTTATTTGTTAGCGATCCAAGCGAGACGACAAGGTAATTTTCATATTTGTTCAAGGGACTTTATTAGCGGAAGATCATCAGCGGGAGACCCGAAGGTTTGGTTGCGTTCATTAGCAACTGAGTGAAAGATGCTTATGATTTGCACGAGCAAAAATTTATTTACATATTAAGCAGGCTGAGATAGTACCACCTAACTACTGAGTGATAGGGCCTAATTTGGCATAAAAATTCACGTGCTCTAACAATTCCGACTGCAACCAAAATACAAACTACACAATCTGCAATTGAATTTTATTTGAGAAAATATTAATCATCATTTTTACTTTTAATCCCCCTTTTGGGATTTTTAAAATTATTTTATCTATTTTTTTTTTTTTATCTATTTCGTTATTGAACAAAATGAAAAAAATTACTGCTCGAATAATTTTCCGATCACGTCACACACACCATTACGTTGGTCTGGGATTATGATCTGTTAGTCCGCGGATTAACATGCTCTGAATGCGCCCTAACACATTTGTTACTTGTCTTAATTTTTAAAAATCAAATTTAATTTTTGAATTATTTCCAACGCAACCATTTCTGATAAAAATGTGCTATTGAATAGATTGTGTTGATGAAATGAGACTTTTTTTCAGATTTTTTCTGTTCCAAACTTAGGCATTGATATCAGCGAGATGTATAGAAATGGAACTCATTACTATATGGTACACGCTGTCAATGAAGACAAAGGTTTGAAGTTACAGTGAGTATATCTTATTGATGATAGTTATCTGCATTAGTGGTGAATCTAGGGTTTCGATTTCAAGAGGGTTATGCGGTCAAACGCCCGGGTTAAGACCCTGATGACGTTATTCACCTGTGAGATAATAGTCTACAGTTAAGCACATGCAAATTAGGCCCTATTCAATTATTTTCCAAATTTCCTCATTTATTTACTGTTGTATTTCTATTTTACTTTTATTCAGGAAAAATGACGAAATCCTCGGTATACGACTCAAAGAGGGCTATGTATCTCTTTTTACAGGCCACCCNCAGTCATTTACTCTCCCCCAAAGTATTGATTCAGTAGGGGTGACACTTCTATTGTCCAGTGTGTGTACTAAAAAATAAAAACAGAATGACAGATCATGTTTTGCTGATGACACCATCGATGTCATTTGTCTTTATTTTTCACGAACAGCGCAATACATATCGCTTCCTTGCTCAGTTTTTCTTTTGATTGAAGAACGTAATATAAAATACAACTTTCTCACTGCATTATTTTGCTTTTGTTACGTTTCATAGATAACTCGCAGACTCAATAAAAAATCGGAAGAGGAAGTAGAATTCCTTTACTACAAAATCGAAGTGAAAGTTAGAATTTTAAGGGGTAGAGGTACGTTTTCACCTTCTCTTTTCAGAAAAGTCCTTATTTTCCACACAGTAACAAATAAAAGCAATAAAATTAAAGAATAATATGTAATCGGAATATTTTTTATTGCATAGTGTTAGACAATATAGCATCTGATTTTTAACTTATTAGCTATCTAAATTAACTAAACGAAATAATTAATTCTGTTGTTTGTGTTTTGCAGGAGGGGATGATATTATAAAATTCGATGTGTCGAGATCGCTGCTTGCAGTGATTGACATCGTCATTCCTGGTCACGGAGAGATTTCTGATGTCAAATCCGGCACTGTTACAACTTGCAATATCAAAAGCCTGCAGTCCGGAGATTTCATAGCACCAAACGCCAGTGGTCAACCTGTCGACACCCCTCATCAGCGTAAGATTTCGGATTGACATTTTTATGTACTTTTTGTATGAATTATAAAACCGCTTGGACATTTCTGTTCACAGTTACGTAGGGATGACGACGATGATGGTTCTATATTTGTTGCTTTTCACCCTATCTATTTCTTTTATTTCTTTTTTCTTATAAGAGAAACCTTTTTTTTTTTCGTTTAACTTATTGGACGTGAACTGAGCTTGATACCAAATCAAAACTAGCATATTTTGTATAAAGCATTTTTATTTCGAAATAAACCAATATCCGAGGTTCGTAGCAGTGGCACATGTAGCAACAATAATAATTCAGAAAAGTCTTCTCTTTCAGACAAACTGCAAGTTTTGTCTTATTTGGGAACCGACAACAGACGAGATCAAGATGGAAATGTTGTTTATGTGTTTATCATAAAAGACTCATCGAACGGCCACGTGCTGTGTGTAAACGGTGATGGAGTTAAGTTTGAGGTAATTTGAACAATCAATTTAATGACTTCTCTTAAGTTATTGAATCTGATAGATTCCTTTTGATCGGACGTCTCTTTATTATACAGTGCACGTTAAAATTAATTTTATTGCATTGTTTTAAATGCTGATAATTTCAAATTCAAAGATCTTAGTCAATAAACATTCGGTTATTTATTGTTTAGAGAACAAGTTTGTTCTAGGAGATATTCATGCAGTATCAAAGAGTTAGATAAAAATGATTTTAAAGAAATTCCCGAAGTAATTAAGACTTTGGGAGCAAGCAGAATAAGGAACAGACTCGATAAAGTATAACTTGGCGAGTTAAAAAAAATCGCTCGTGAAAATGCAAATATTAAACCATTTTCATTATTGACTCAGGGGACAAATGTGCCAAACAGTGCGGTAATTCAGTCAAGGACAACTGTGCAGAGTTCATATTTCCTCGGTCGACGGTACGATAAGAATATCTGGTTCTTCGAATCCCTGATTAAACCAGGTATTCTCTCTCTCTGTCTCACTCACGCACACACAACACACAAACACACGAAGGATCGAACTGATTTTTTTACCCTGAAGACTTGCGATTCGCTATAATTCTTTTAACACAAAGATCATGCTCTATTCGATGTACATTGCGTGTGGGATTTAAGGTTACTCTCTCTCTCTCTCCCTCTGTGTGTGTGTGTGTGTGTGTGTGAAAGAGACACACACACACACACACACACACACACACACACGATCAAACTAATCAAACTAACACAAAGATCATGCTCTATCCGATGTACAATGCCTTTGGGATTTTCAGGTTACTTTCTCAACAGCACAGACACCGAGGTAACACTCAAAAAGTTACACATCAATACGCGCCAACCGCTTGAGCAAGGTGTGCTGTTCCAGTTGTTTCGTCGAAACGAAAGGGGGCGCCACAAGCTTTTGACTATGACTGGCAACGAATTTGTTGAGGCTGAGGAAGATCACGACTGTCAACCAGCCCATGTGGACGGATGTGGACTACAGTCACCCCTTCAGTCACCGTTTCTGTTTAATTCGGTGCCCACTGAAAGTTCACCTACCGTACTAGTCGCACGTGGGTCTGATTAATTATTGGCCAGTTCTTGAACATCAGATGTTACAGAGACAATGCACTGAAACGATTTCAAGAGTATCTTTATTTAGAAATGAGATTTGAAATCGCCTTATTCAGTTGATTTAAAACGTCTGTAGTTGTTGTAAGCAACGGCTGTAACGGAACTTTTTTAAAGATTTATAGTTTAAAAGAAAACGTATGGAGCCGTATATCGCTTTATCTATCAATCTTCATAATGTAATAAATGGAATGAATAGCTGTAGAAATAAGGTTTCTTTTGATATGTCACATGATGGGATAATTGGTATGTTACGCAGATATAGACGGTTCTTGGCACCCTACACCCTGTCTCCCTTTAAGACTGCGTCTGAATTTTCCTTTTTGAAGGAGCGTGAAGCCTAAAACGATTCTTCTTTTAGTGCTCTTAGACTGTTTATTCCTGTTTATTTAGAATAAAACACGACGTTTTTGTCAATCACATTTTCGATTTGCATTTTCCCTTTTTACTTGTAGTCACTCTGCGAATCAATATAATACGTTTTGAGGATATTCCAGTCACGTGGCCACAATGAACCTATAATGCATATCAACGAAATTATCTATGACTCACCTCGTGGGAAATCCCGGTCAAGCCTTTTTCATTTGCTGCATTCATACGACACCACAGAAAAGCTGGATACCATCGATGGTTAAAGTCTTAAATCTATGAGCTGTTGCCAAACACGGAACAAAATGAAGGATAAAACAAAGCCGAAAATTTCGCGTGATTTTAGTGTTATCAGCACTACCAGTACGCTCATGGAGCGACCCAAGCTGTCTGAGATAATACAACAGGTCCGGTGCGAAGAGGAGCAGAGGTTGTGCTATCTAGAAGATGAGGTAAATGACTTTGAATTCGGTGCAAACTATTCGGAAAGTGGTTTGAATATTTAAAACAAATAACCTCTCTTGTTGTTTGACAGCTTGCTTGGATAAAGTTTATACATACATAGTATGCGAGTTAATACGTTCTCCCTTTCTTCAAAGAGCCATTCAAGTCTCAATCGTAGAAAGTTTCGTTCTCGCATACAGTCGTATAAGCTTAGATCTAAAGGTTAAAGGATGGAAATTTTTCTACGGTTGCAGAAATGTACATGTATAATAAATGAAGCGCACAGGACACTAGTTCCGGAATTTTTGTGGTTATAGTTATACCATAGCTGTTTTGTTTTCCTTACATATCCGGGTTTGTTTAGTGTGGGTGCATATTTGCTCAGCGCCAGTCCTCTATTCTTTGAAAGTGTCTTACGCAAAGGCAAGGATCAGGTGTATATTTGACATTTGGTTGTCATATATTTAATTTGATTTTTAATACTGATATCTACACATATTAAGTCGATGCGTGATGGGATATGCGACTTTTTTTGGCGGGGGGGGGGGGGAATGATCTAGATCTGTTAGGAAAAAGAGGCATTTGACTTTAACTTCCCTAAACCTAGGACCCCAACACAATGTTAATCGGTTAGAATGTTTTTCTTTCAATTGCAGTGATTTCTAAAGATATAAATAGGGAGTGTTTTTTAAATAAATCATGAGCATAGATATAGTTGTTATCATTTTTCGGAAGGTGTGTTTCATGAAATAGTGAATTTTTCTCGTCAGTGTTTTTATTGCACTAATTTATTTGACTAATATCGGTATTTTTAGCAACTGACGTGAGGGTTTTTAACCTGTATTGCGTTTTTGAAAATGTTATTGATTGGAATAAAAATAGACATCGGGTAATCAAAGCTTTAGATGGACAAAATGGCGTATCCAAGAACTCTAGTATCTAATGATCATTTGTTTTATTTATTTACTTATTTAATTTTGTGGAGAGCATCTAATGCTTTTAGCGCTTTGCCTCCATTTCTTTCGAATAAACGTTATTAAAAAAAGTATCTAGATAATGACAGTAATCAGTGCTTTAACATTTCAGAATGGTGACCATACCCTCAGGTGCCACGATTTTCTGAATGTCAAATTCCAAGAGGTCAAACTGCCTGACTGTCGACCGTTTCTGGAAGTCCACGGCACGAACCATCACGACGAGGAAGATGGAGCACGGAGTTTAGGATCCCAATTAAGGTAGAATTCCATCAATCATTTGGACGATTTCCAAAACTGTAGGGCCTACTTTTAAAAACGCGTATTTTACCTTTTATCATGTTCATGAAAATATAAAGACACTTAAGGTCGGAAATTAATGAGGGGAAATACTATCAAATGAGTAGAATCGACAACATGATCGGCGGTTGAGGGCGGCGTTTAGATGACTCTCTTCTCTAAATCCTTAATGTCAATCTCTCAAAAGTGGACCGGTCCAGTTTAGTGTGCCGCTTGATGCGAAAAGGACTTGTAATTTGTTTACTATTGCAGAGCAAATGATGAGCTCTTAGGAATCATTGAGGGGCCAGATAAAATGAACGATGAAGTTACAGCTGTCCTCGACATGGGACCATCCGAATTTATTGAATATGTTCAAGAATCCGTCAAAGAACTGGAGGAATTCATAATGGTATGTCGCTCTGTCGCTTTTTTACATCAACTACCCAACCGCGCAGCTTGGATTTTTCATTGCTTGAATTTCTCGTAGTTATCATTTTTTTTAACCTTATCGTTAAAGAGTTGTTATTTGTATAATATAATCGAGTTCATTTCCTCCTGTCGATTTATTTTGGTCGCTTATCATCTGAAAATTGATTTTACGCCCACTTCACTTATATACTCTTATTTATTGGTAACATTTTCAGATCTTTCGACGGAGAGAAAAAAATCCCACCAATGAAGCAAGACAATTCATCTACTTCAAACTTACCATCCAGATAAATCACACTGGTAAGCTGCTTTTATAAGCATTAGAATTAGATTAACTTTGAGGTGTTATGAAATTAATTGCATACCAAAATACTTGTTGCACAATAGGAGAAATGGCCATAAATTGTGCCATAAATTGTGACTATGTCTAGTGAAAAATCAATCTGTATTCGTGTTGCATTTCTTTGGCAATCATGTTGTCACCACGTCTTTGTAAAATCCTAGTATTTTCATCAGTTGATTAAAAGAAATGGGTCAAAGATTTTGCTCAAACTCTTACTGTTGCTTTCAGCTTCCGGGTACCACGAAATAACCCGAATTAGCTGGGAGAGGCTGGAAGCAAGTATTGTCATTGATGATGGTGATAAAATATGGGACATCGAACCTGAGCCAACGTCTTCCACTTACTATGTCCAGTGTGCAGCTAACGGACAGTATTTGACACCATACGGATTAACGGAAAAAGAACGTATGTAAAGTTACATTCTTTTCTTAAACTGAATTGAGTTTCATGAATTAATGTGCACGATTCTCTCTCTCTCTCTCTCTCTCTCTCTCTCTCTCTCTGTGTGTGTGTGTGTGTGTGTGTGTAAGTTATGGTGATGATGTTTTTGTTTTTATTTTCATTTTATTTATTTCAACGTCCATATTATTTGTAGATCAGTTATTTATATCAAGTTACCATGGGCACCATGGAAGGACTGGAGAAATAGAAAATGTCGTAGTCATCGAAGACTATGAACGGGGATATATACTAGAAGCTTTTCCCAGAAGTAAAACGGTGATTTTCAACCCTCAGGTATTACAAAGATATCAAGTGTCAGTGTTTAACCTGTAAATGTTACTGATATTCTTGTCACTTGCATTTGGAGTTTTTCAGAATCGATTTAAGTTGATTTAAAGATCGAATGAGTGTCGCTTGCATTAATATTTCATTCACAATGTGTTCTAAGGATTGTCAAAGACGTTTATTAAATTAAGCCAATTTGCAATGGATTTTTACGAGTTTTTCGACTTATTAATAATAACTATTTTCTTTCATTCACAGACTAGCTCCGATGGTGCGGTTAGCTTAAGCAATGACACTCCTGCTGAGGAATGGATGTTTAAATGCATGCGCATACGGAAAAATGTCTTCTGTTTAGAATCTTTAAAGTTAAAAGGTATTCAACGAATTATTTCAATTTCGCAATAGAACACACACAAACGCACGCGCGTTACTGGGCAAGATGGTATTAAAACAAAAATTTTCTCAAAGTTAACGTATTGGACGGCGATGAAACATCAATATAAGGTATTTAAGCGAAAGTAAGTAACAAGTTCGAGGTTGTAGTAGTAAATTGGAAAGTCTACGTCAGTCACAGACAGATCATTTTAAGTATTTAATAATAAATAAGAAAAATGTGTCACCCTTATTCATGTGTTTCAGATGTTAGTGAATGATGTAAAAGCTTTATGTTTTTTATGTATATATTTTCAGGGTATTTCGTCAAGGTTAATGGCAACAAATTAATTTTGCGAAAGGACGTGGATTTTCAAGATCCCGAGTTTCAATTTGAATTTTATGAAGTGAAAAAAGTGATGCCTCATTACAGAGAGTGGCCATCTTCTTCCTATCCAAATGAAACGGTCGACAAAGATATAGAAGAAGATATAGACGGTTTTGAGGTTATGATTAAACCAGAGGAAACAAAGCCCGTGGAAAACGGTACTACTGGGACTAATAACGATTCTGGGCCAGTAGAAACTAACCACACAAAGCCTGATATTGTGCCTGGGCCAATAGAAACCGAGGACACAAAAAGTGATATTGTGCTTGGACCAGAAGAAACTGACGATAGAACAAGTGGTGTCAAGCCTAGGCCAGTGAATACAGATGAAATGGTATTAAGTCCATTGAAACCAGAAGACAATTTGAGAATCCCAAAGAGAAGTCGATTGAAAGCGTGTTTCAGCTGTTGTTGGACTTTTTTGAAGAAAAGAAATCGCTAAGTAACATCATTGAAGACTGACACTGTTTATCGAAACTATGTCTACGGCGAAATAATGTAATTGATTACTGACTTTTGCTTCAGTGTTCAATCTAATATTTTTACAATTGTGTACAGAACTTGTAGATGCAGGGTCCCTTAATGAAAAAGTAGTGCGTCCTTACACGCTTGTTTATGTTAACAGTGACTTGTAAATATTTGTTTTTTCTTTCTTCTTTTTTTTAGATTTATTTATGTCAATAAATTCGGGCACAGACTCGTAATGCACTTTTTATCCCGCTGTTGTTATTTTTTGTGTAATATTCAACGCCTTTCAGTTTGATAAAGATAAAACATTTACGTAGTCGAAGAATATATCCGTAGTTCGTGAAACCAACGTGGACTAAACCATTATATCCGGGAGTATAAGACACCTTTCAATAAGCAACCGGAAAAGTAAGTGCAGCTCTTGAATTCCTCTTCTGCGAAATGAATTAATGTAAGTAGGGCTTCTTCCTTGTTCCGTCATCATAATACAAAAGAAAAGTCTTGAGAGGAGAGTGTTACCTCCGACCAGGATTATTTTCATTCCTGTCCGTTATTTCCTTGTGTCACAGGCCATGATGATCTCTTTATCTCCTCTCTATTTCTGTGCGTCATCCCCTCAAATGCCCCAATTTAATGTTATTATATGTTTTTACCTAAACAAATATTAGATCTTGGTTAAAAAAGAAAAAAGAAAAAAAAAACGGAAAAACTTCAAACTGTGTGGGTCATCTTGGGCCACGATTTTTTTCACTTTTTTCACTCTCTTGTGCAATAAAGAACACAGTTGCTGTATGGGATTTTATTAGTACAAATTTTAGATAAAAATATAGCTGGATTCAGATCAATTGTATTTCATGATAGATGGGACGTTCTGAACATGCTCCTGTCTAATTTTGCCTTTGTACGCCTACACAGTCACAGTTGGCCTACAATCTAGTCACGCGGAACGTTCGAGTTAAACAACATCACGACAAACAAATGTGTTGGGATGTGCTGTTAAGCTATATCATGATTGTGCTTTTCTCTCTTTCTCGTCGCTATCATGAGTGATCAACAGGCTCATAGTCCCGCTACAATCGTTACAATCATTTATTTTAATTTTCATTGATAAAGGGTTGGAGGATGTTTCTCTTTTCTCTTGTTCACTGACTGTGCTGTCTTGTAAAATATATCATTGCTTATTTAGACCAATATAAATGCATGGCCTATGGGTTCCTAACGCTAGTTATGATGTTATACAGTTTTCGTGTAAACAACCACATTTTATCCTTTCTATGTGGATAATTCTATAACTATTAGGTAAATATGTTTCATACATTTAATTTTTAGAAATCCTAGTTGTTTTTCTTTTAATATTTAGATAAACATTGAAACTCGCATATTAAACAAAGCCAGAAGCGTGATTGGTAATAATAAATTTTGTGTTAAGAACACAGTAACTTCAACACATGTAAAAAAAATCGCGCACAAAAGCTTATTATGGCGGGAGAAGAAAAGGATCCTCAGAATATGTAGTAATATTTTCATGTATTACATGCATTATGCGTAATAGAAGACACTGGGTATTAACTTATGGGAAAAGTATCGAAAACGTGATAAATATATCAGTTAAATTGAACGGAACTACTCGTCGTTCGGTCCTTAGCAGCACTGCCCTCATAATCATTACTACTTTTTTTGTCAAAAGTAAGGAGCGAAAGTTAATATCAAGTCAAATTAGTGAATCGGAGGCATCAGTTTATCTGTACTGACGAATGTAGGTGAAAACAACAAAAAGGGATTATGCAGCTATGATAAACTTGAGTATAAAAAATATGTCTAATAATATTCGTCATAAAGTATTAAAATTTCTAAAATTCTGTGATATAGTGGGAAACTTTTGTAACAAAGTAAAACGATTAATCTTGTAATTGATTGACTTATAGATATTACTTGATAACACGACGTAGGACCACATTAGCGTCATTAGTTTGTTGTATAAAACATTGACACATGATACCACACGCAGCAGCTCACAATGACAAGAGCTGACAATGAACTTAAAATAAATTTTGTCCGAGGCCAAAAAATCCTTTTAAGAATTTGCCTGACATAGAACATTTTAGAAAATGCATCTTGAATGCGATCAAGATCAATTCTAATGGATTTCTTCTGCAACAATCTCCCTGTCCATAAACAGATCTAAAAATGTTCTTTTCGAACATTTTCGAAATGCAATCATAATTTTCTTTGTAACTTTATTTTATATTTATCGAAAAATAAAACGCAATATTTTAAAACGGTATAAGGTCTCAGCCCATTTAGTATAACCGTGATTAGATTGAACGTGTAGAAATAAAACAAGCGGTTTTTAATTTGGTAGGAGTTCACATTTACACATTAAGATCATTGGTCGTTTACACATTGTTTCTTCCTTTCCGTTTATGCACTTAGAATTATGAAATATAGCACCACCGCCTGCTGATTGCAAAACAAACCTCGTCACTTTAGAGACATTATGTGTGCAGGATGATCTATCTATCCACATCCACATGCGTAAGCATAAGATATGAGCTGCGCAGTGCGCATGCTGGTGTTATGACCTTAAACACACTAACATTTACAGAGGTAGGGTTATTTGCACGTCATTCCTCCTAACTACATCGCTCATACAGTAGGCGGGAATACTCCTAGCTGACTCACATATTTCTACGCCCAGCTAACGGGACAGATCGACAGACAGCAAAGAGAACGCTCACTTCACCTGATCCCCAGAGAATATGCCGTGGCAGGTGAGAAAAATTATTCCTAGCGTGACGTTATTATAATACGGTTGCCGCCTTGTTCAGATAGCGATAAGTTGCATTATTCAGGCAAGTAATATGCTAGCTCACGGCATACCAAACTTAAGATTTCTACGTTTAAATATGCGCCTTGAACTTAATATCCGTGTAATGTTATTTACAGACGGAACCGACACAATTTCATTGCGGGTCGTCACATGAATGTCACGATGTTGACAATGACATTATCTCAGATCACTTAAAAGGAGTCCGTCAAAGAAGTCTACTAAGAGTTTATAAAAGAACTTTTGGTTATTCAAGAATATGTTTAACATACATATCCATCTCATTATGTCCCACTGACTGAGACCAATTGTACTATAAAGTGATAAATCAGAAAAAGCACGTTGCATAGGCCTACATTGAAACTCATCAAGGCATGGTATCTTTTTTCATACACGCCGACGTTGTATCTACCTAGAGGTTATATGAGATAGGTGGGAAAAGCGAAAGGTCACCTACTTAATTCCGATCATTTATTATTCTCCACGGCGAAATGAAATTGGTTTTTAACTGCTTTTAGCCATGCTGTCCGGGGGCTAAATACAATGTAGGAAACACCTTTGGGGTGTATATTCAGCCTTTTCGCCTATATACTACCACGCACCATAGTCTCTTTCCATGTAAACGTAGATCCAACTTCTGCCTCGCATTCCTGTCCATATAACATGACAGGAAAAAACCTAATTACATAGCCTCTACCGAAAGAAATTAGATAATAGGCATGTCATCATCTAGGGTTCGACTCTGATGAAAAGTAAGCGTATCTGAATTTCAACCCCTGAAACTAATTTTGCTTACACTGGAGATCACACAGCTGCTTGACGTCTTTAAAAAGTGCGTTCAAAATCAAGTAATTCATGTACAGCTGCTTAAACTGATATGTGCAGTCAGCTAAATTCTGAGCAACGTGTACAGTCTTAGCTCATTTTTGTTCTTGAGTAACAGTTGAAATCTAATAACTTTTGCCAATTTGTGAAAAAGGGAAGGGGCCTGGTCAATTCGCTGTTTGAGAATTGAATTTGCCGTCAATAAGGGGGGGGGGCGAAGTTTATATTTTCTTCTATGAATATTTCTATGATTACTGTTTTGAAAAACAGCAAAAATGACAGAAGCTTTTGAATCAAAATAATTCCCGTTGGTGGTAAAACAATCTGGTTTGGGAAAGTTTATCTAACCTCGTCTGACTTTAGCTGCTAGATTCCCTACGTCTTGTGAAGTCGCCTAATCTGAACAGATATGCTATTCCGATTTTCATTAAAATATTTAGTTACAGTTCTAATTTTGTCACAATGCGTTTGAATCTCCATATAAAAATTATTATCAGCATTTTGTAATCCTGACCAAAGTATATTTTGATTTCTTTTTAGCCACCGCCAACCGAGAAGTGCACCGTATGTGCGAAGTCGGTGTACGCAGCCGAGAGGCTGGAAGCTGGCAAAAAAATATTTCACAAACTTTGCTTCAAGTGTGCTGTTTGCAGAATGACATTAACGTGAGTAAATTCACTGTTGGTCAACACGATCGTTTGCTTGGGCAGTCAGCATGATATGTTTACAAACAACTCCTTTGCGCATATATTACCACACCTGTGTTCAGAATTAACCCTTGTGCGTTAGAAGTAGACTTCCATATATAGACCACTTAAAATAGCGACGGGCATATTTTTCTTTTTGTGGTTTGGCAGTGAAATATTCCAGAACTCCATGTCTGCTTTGATAAAAGTACCAGAAAACACATGCATGTTGACGCATCCCGCATGCCAAGCAAGAAATCTAAGCGATGTTTTCATTGATCTCAAGAATTAATGGTATCGAGCACACCTGCAGTCAAGAAACACGTAGTTTCGATAAGATATTGCATAAAGTGCACTTTTCTTGAACTTTTGGTGCATTTTTTTTTACTGAGGATCTGTTATATGTGATAGGCACAAAGTTCTTGCTTGGTCTGTGAACGTTTAATTGGAAATCAATACGTCTTGAGAAAATTGGTCTAGTTATTGGGATTTATTGTAAGCTTTCGTGACATTATTTTTGTTAACGGGACTTAATTACAATCTCACGACCTTAACAGCACAAAACAAAAGGTAAAGAATACAGCATGGTCGTTGCCTGTTGATTTCACGTGTCGCAATTATTATAATCTTCGTGAGCGATGTGCACATAGGTACAGTCAGCGATTTGCTGACGTAAAAAAACTGCATTAAAACAGTTCTGATCACCTTTTCAGTGGCATATTTGTGTCACTTGTGTTAACCTCCTCCTTTGGTTCCATTCATTCTAAGTTCGAACTCCACTTGATCAGTTTTTGAATTTCGATTGGCCAAAATGACACTTTCGCCATCTGCCGCCATCAGAAGCCTTGTTTTAGGTTTTATTTTGCCTTTTTTATTTCCTTCTTTTTCACATTTGAAAACACTTTGTCAAATCGGGATGAATAGGCACTGCTTTGAAAGCGCTGTAAATCCATTACCTACAAGTACAAGAACCAGTAAAAAATTAAGCGCCAACTGAGCGTCTTGCGTCTTCGAAAACAAGCCTTCCTGTCGGTTATTCAAAGGTCGGATAGGTAAATGGTATATATAGTTTGGTGAAACCGAAGGTATTAGTGTTTCTGAAGAAGTAGAACTTCGATCTTGTAGCAAAATATTAACGTGGCTTGTTTATTCTATTATTTACATTTAATGCTTACCGTCTACTTCATACACAAGTACCGCATGTTGCAAGGTCTCAGCTTATACCCCCCCTATTAGACGTGCCAGTAATCTACATAACCATATAGTCCCTTCTTGTAAATGTTTACATTTAGGCCTATTACATCTTGCAAAGTATACACATACACTTCAACTACCCTCTACCAGGGCGACAGTTTAATTTTTCACAGATATTCACAGATATGTCTCTAGATAAATAGAAAGTCCTTTGGCTATTTTCCATTTTTCCCTATATAATCTGCCCATCCTGGTAGAGGGTACACTTCAACTGAGTAATAAGCCGTGCGTATCTCATCGTCCGATTTCCGCTGCTTTTAAAAGAAGAAATAGGCTCTCGGTAATATTCAGTTTTATATGTATCTACTTTTTTTATTTTTAGAGTTCAAAATTACCATCAGTCGGACGGCGTCCTTTTCTGCAAGAAACATTTCCAGGAAAATGTGGTGCATCCAAACACTCAGGTGGTCAGCTAGTCTGAGAACGGCGCACGTGATTACAAAAGAACGAGGAACTGTAGCATAATCTGATATGCACTTCAACTGAGTAATTGATATTAGCAAGAACCCAGTATATTGGAGCAATATTGCTGATAGAAGCAGAGACCAATTTCCTGGTGCTTTAGATTAGTGCATTTATACATTAAATAATCAAAACAAAGTCTGAGATTATGCATGATATGCAATTATGTTGTTTACCTGAGTTGAGAAATTACATACTGTTTTAAAACTCTTAACGATCCAAACGTGCCCTTTACAGCTTGAACTAGGAGTGACGAGGTCGGTCTGAGGATGGCATAAATCGGCAAAACATGTCAAAACTGCATAAGGCGCAGCTGGCAGCGTGCACATTTCATGGCTTGGCATTTTAAATCGTATTCGAAAGGCATGTATGTATCGAAAATAAGTCACCGTCTTCTTTGACGGATGATCAGATACCAACCTCCAATTTCTTCGAAATATGAAAAGATAAATGATACGTAGACTACGTAGATATTACTGACGGACTCAGGATAATGTTGGCGCGATTTTGTACGCCCACCACACTACCCACCTAGGAAACATTCGAAAACTGTTGCGATTTGAAGCAATTAAATATTTTACATTACAGCACAGTACACTAAAGTATTGTACAGTAGACCTCACATAGCACCGACAGAGGGCCTAAACCAGACGTACCTGTATCATGCGGTACTATGAGATACATGTAGCCCTATATCCCATCGATTTGTAAAGGGTGTCTCTCACACGCCTCCCCATGCGTCGTCCCTGCGGGGGTACAGTCATTAAATCTCGGCTCCATTGGGACGACACATGGGGAGGCGTGTGAGAAGCGGAGAGACTATTAAAAGATTAGGCGGTTTTCCTTTCATGTATGTCCGCCATATTTAGTTCGTGACTTTGTACAGCCATGGATCAACTCGTTGTGAATGCGGTCACAGACTATATAAAAACGGGCAAGAAGGTAGTAAATGCGAGATTTATTGTACGTACATTTTGTGGTTCTTTTCTCCCACGGCTTAAAAAGAGGGAGCTAGATGCAAACAGGAATTGTCTTGATATAAATAATACAGTAAATGTAAGAATTGTTTGTTGTTGTATTTTGTAATCCGTCACCTTCTGTGTCAGAAAAAAAATTTATAACAAAGCCACCATTAAAAGATAAAAGGTATATATACATTTCAAATCTCCCAGTCATATTTCTAAATATTCTGTAAAGCTACTAATCTTTACCCAATTTAAATCATAAAATCGACAACACCCCTCAAATAGAAGTACCCATTGTCAATATTTCATTCTCAAATGTCAGGAAGGCATGGCGACCTAAACGAACCGTGTTATTTATTCATAATTGGTACACATTATCGAATCCAAGAGTATTTTTTCTCTGGGAAATTTAGATTTGTAGAAAAAATCGAGCATAGAATGCCTTTTACAAAAATTATTTTTTTTGCAATGGAAAGGAGTCCGTTAGTTGAGATAAACCGTAATTTTAACTTTTCAGAAAATATCGCATAAAGTACAGAAAATACCATGTAAAAAATCTTTTTTATTTTCTAGCCTTTCGTCTGTGTTAAATTTAGAGATAAAGCAAGTGAAAGAGACGCAAATGGAATTGTTATTATTTACAAATCACGAACAAAATGGGACAAGAAAACATTCTACAGCGTTCTGACCGATAGGATTTTTTTACTGACACCTGACGATGATAAACTATATGTACTGGACATAAAAAATATTTAGTATCTTCTATTAAAAAAAAAAAACATTAAAAACACTTTATTTAATTAATTAAAAACCAAATAAATAAATGAAAATACCAATTAAATTATTTTTGGGATAACATGAAAAATAGAAATGAAACATCGAACTCATTCTATATCTATTGACTAACACAAGTCATTTAACTGTCCATTTTTTTTTTCTTTTTTCTCTAGCTGAACTAATTATTAGAACATTAAGAATCATTCCAAACTAAAGATGTAAAATCTATCTACAGGTAATATACACTAGCATTTATAAAAAAACTAGGTACATTTTGTTGTAAATGAACAAAATCATATCAATAATTGTACAGAAACTAAGTATATAACAATGCACGTTTATAAATGTCTGAACTGTTATCAAAATTTTGAGCACAAATATTTACAACTGTGCAATGCCTTTTAACAATAACCTTCATCACAAAAATCTGTTATCTGCATTTTCGCATTATATACCTGCAAATACCAACTATGTTGATGTGGCATTTTACAATCCAAACTCAATGTTCCAATTTAGATTTCTAAACAATATTTTTGATATTCACCCAAATACATCTTGGCATACAAATATGGCTGGATATGTGGCAGTCATCACTTAGAAACAATTTCAAACAATCTATTGTACTAATTCTTCAACATCTAGTAAAAACCAAACCCCACCTTGTATATATATTTTTTTAATTCTGAAAAGAGAATAATAAATACATGGCCAACTCTCTTGGTCGAAAAAATAAACTTATTTGATCAGCTGCCACAAATCCAGGTTTAATTTTTAAAACTAGTCTTGCATAGCCTCTATTCAATGAGCTTCTTGGCCTTGAAATATCTTCTAAGGTATAAAACTTGCCATGAAGCAAGGCCTAGGAGACAGCACATGGAGAAAATACTGAAGTACAAAACTCTTGAATGGGTGGATTCTGAAAAATGAAGAAAAAATGAGCATTAGAGCCATCACAGATGAATTCAACCTTAACAACAACGACATCGCTAGGGATGAGCCATTTAGTGCACAAGTCTGAAAATATGGCATGTGATCTGGAGGGCCCTCCGCTTCAATCTCAAAAATGATATTTTTGACTCCCAAAAAGTCGAAAATCCATCAATAGTCGTAAACAATTATTACTGCATCTTACAATCATGTCTTGCAATAAGTAAGTGCATCTTAATCCACAGTATCTTTGTAAAAGACAAAGAAACTACTTTAACTTAGAACAAGGCACAGAACTTTTTTATCAAATGTATCAGTTAGTAAATAAAATCTTATCTTATAAGCATCTTGCATTCAGAATAGGGGACTAACTAGTCCAAGGGTCAAATACAAAGCTTGGCGTCTAATCCACTAATAGACACTGAATAGACATCCCATGGGGAAGTATTCAAGTGGGACGGCCATATTTAACCCTCAGGCTAGTCAGTCCCCTGTTGTGAACGGGGCTAATAATTCACCTCTTATGCCCTTGAAATTTCTTTGTTAAAGTAATATTACCATTAGTATCTCTCATTTCCTCTTCTCTAGCTCTCATGTAGGCAAAGTCATTAACAATGGCTTCTGAAAGATCTTCTAATTTTCTCAGTTCCACTTCCAATGGTTTGAGTTTCTCTGCTTTAGCAAGCTGTAAAATTAGCATATGAAGCAGTGGTTTAAGGGAATATAGACTTATTTTTAAAAAAAATCAATCATATCAATACACATTTATCTAAACACTAATATCAATTCAACCCAATTAACACAAGGTTCTGATGACTCACAATAAATCGCAAGTAATGAAAAGTTTATCACAAGTAATGAAATCTTAAATCACCTTTAAACACTTATAGAAAGATATAATGGTGATTAAAAAAAGAAGTGAAAAGATCTAAAATGTCAAGACAAATATACTGTAAATAAAAACCAAAATTCTCCTCAAAACAGGAGAAAGCAAAACACACCACAATTTTTTTGTTATCTGTTATGGATAAATATATGAAGCTGTGTTTATTTACATGTATGCTTATTTCATAAGCCTTATGACAAGCTTATATTTATAATGATAGTATATATACCATCTTCCTAACACATGCCTACTGCCCGGATGAACCTCAGTGGTCTGGGGTGCAGGCTTCAAACCTGTAGCCGATTAGCGTCGGAGTGGTTCAATTCCACCTTTCGGGCGTCGTAATAGTATTTATCAGCTAGAACTGTGGGAGCTTTTTATGATACAGTATGTCAAGCCTTGCAGTTGTGAACAAACATTCCAGACAATACATGAATACTTACTGCTTCATAATTCTTGGCTTCTACACCAGTTTTGACATCAATAGTAACTTCTCTGTCAGGGGCATGTGTACCTGAAATATCCACATACATTTAAAAATTATTGCTTACTGCATTAAAAACTATGGCAAACAATAACAATCTTATTATAACATGCCTCATAACTAAGCGGAAGAATAGGTATCAACATCATGCTTTTGTCAAGTGTGTTAAATCACTGGCATATACTAAAGTAGTCATACTACAACTTCAGATGATATGTATATATGTATGCAAAATAATTCTGTACACCATAAATTACAAAAATTTATTTACACAGATCACTTACCCATTGGTAGTTTAGTTTCAAAACATACTTCAAACATGTCATAGTCTTCAGTGGTGAAGGCAAATTTACCCTTAGATGCATCATCTTTCTGATACAATATGTGACCTCTGGAATCTACAACCTGAAGCAGCAATGTTTTATAATGTGAGTATAAAGCAAACCTTGTTTGTGCTCAGTGAGGTAAGAATAAATTAACTTGTATGCTGCACATGAAAGGAAAGGAAATGGCTCTTAAAACTCTTACCGGTCTTTTGGACTGACCAAGTCCAATTTTTTACCGATCCAGACAAATTTTGCCAACCATGACTGATCAGACCGACAGTTTCAGCATGTCTGATGAAGTGGAGGGCCAGATAAATAGGTCAATTTACAACCAAACATTTGAAGGTGCTTCTTTTTGGCCAAACAAAATATTAATTTGGTTTATGATTTGGCATGTTAAAATTACTTAGTCACAAAAGAAACTAGTAGTGGTATATATGCATTACTGGAAATCCATGCTCACTTTCTGTGTATCTTTCATACTCCACAGGAATTACATTGTCAACATAATGTGGGATAAAACTAAGAAAAGTAGGTGTCTTCTCAAACCCAAGCATGTTATATATATATATATATATATATATATATATATATATATATATATATATATATATATATATTAAATCTTCTATCAGAGCAAGCAACCACTAAAAAAAAAACACTTTCACCTTCCCAGTTCTATGTCTGACAGATTGTATGGTAAATAAACCAATTTCTTACTAAAGATGAGTTGATTTACAAATCTACTGAGAAGAACTAAAATTTATAAGTCTTATTTCCTTGGCAACAAACAGTTAAGTTTCACATACCATATGGCATACTCTTTATGCAAATAGCAAAAACTGAAAGCATATGTTCCCATATGGAATTTAAATCAATATATATATATGTGCACAACCTGTGCACAAATAAATAGTGTTAAACATTCAAAGAGACTAAGGCTTCGTTCACAAGCAATGTCTATTTTCTAAATTCTATTCGCGCTATCTTATGACCACGGTCTGTGCCCTGAATATCCCGCCGCGTAATTACTGGCAGCGCGAGCCAGTTACTTATAGTAACTTATAGTAACTGGCTCGCGCTGCCAGTAATTACGCCGCGGGATATTCAGGGCACATACTGTGATCATAAGACATACCGCAAATAGAAAATAGAATTTAGAAAATAGACATTGCATGTGAGTGAAGCCTAAGCGAGTGTTCATCATATATGTGGTTAGACATCATGAACAGAAAACCAAATAGCAAGAGCCTTGGATTAAATTAAATAGGATATTATAACTTCTACAGTGGACAAAGACTGAACACTTCCACTTCCACCAGGTTTCAGTCAAAATTTACAAAATAACATTATTATAAATGAAATCATGAGAAGTTTCAGGCAGGCTAGTGCGTGTAACATACGTATTCTGCGATTATGATACTAGAAGTCAGCGTGTTGCAATAACATAGATGAAACAATTTGGATATATTAAAATAATGCATTTAGCTGGTTGAAAAATCGGTGTATTTGTTCCTTACAACTAACTTGGTCCTCTGTCCCGGTGCTTCTGTGAGATCGTAAATTCCTGTCACCAGCACATTTTTGTGTATCTCTTCTTTCAGGCACTTCTTCTGGTTAATAGGCAGGTGAAAACTAAGAGCATCGATGGAAACTAGAAATATGCTGCTAATAAGGAGTAAATATTGCCAAAACTCCATGCTGAGTTATTGTCCTTAATCCTCCCCCAACGCGACAGAATTCAAAAATAGACGTACGCCTGTTTCAGTCACCACGCAAACGTGGCAAGTACACACACGTAGTCGGCAGTTATCGTGTTCAGTGTCAAATATACTGACAGGTGGCGCTACACTTGGGTGAATGATAATGATGCAATGAAACTTTACTGCCATCTTTCGACAAATCGTCCGGCAAACTCCGACCGGTCACAGAAGAGGAGGAGAGAATAGAAGTAATGATTTTGTATGATTTAATCATATTCATTTCCATTTTAAAAAAGCCTGAAAAGTACCATTTAATTAAATTTTTTTCTACCGATATTTCCCATTTACATTTTGTAGACATTATTGCTCAGGAAGAATTTACAAGTGTGAGCCTAATATTGAGGAAACTCTCCGCGCCATGACCTCGCTTTGGTTACTATTGTGATTGGTGATAGTGCTTCCCATATTGAAGCAATGCCCGAAGCAACACATGCTTCCCACATCGAGGTGAAGCAGAGCAAGAAGTTATAATGAGATATAACTTTATAACTTCTTGAGCAGAGTAAAAGCAAAACACTACCTTGCCGTTGGTCGTTGTAGACCTAGCCAGTGAGTACCGAGTCGTACTTTTCCCCTGAGGAAGCAGTAAATACCTCTTGTTTAATGCATAGTAGCATTTCTTGTCCAATATTAATTAATTAATTTTATCACTCTTATCATCTGTAAGATTGTAAAAAGTTTGGCCAAGGTTTCTTCTTCCAAGACTTCCAGTAGTCATCTAATTCATCCCTCCATCGTTTGACCGGCCTTCCTCTTTTTCTTTGTCCATACCTTGGGGTCCATTCTGTAAGCATTTTAGTTTATCACAGTGAAAAAACTTGTGTTTTGAACGAATTCAAAATTGCAATAGCATTAGCAGAATGAAACTAGCTCTGTATGCTTAACACAAAATCCTCTGTTGAAAAATTATTAACGTACATAATCTGGATTAAGTATTGCATTACCCTTAACATAAACATTGCTCAGTCATTTCATTGAAATGATCAAACTGTTATGTTAACTTTAGTTTTGATTTGCAGATTCTTCCTTACCAATATATTGTGTGGGAGAAAATGGCAGGAAGGAAGCTAAAAGCTGGCAGGTTGTTTTGGTGACCTTTTTATTTATTTTCAGTTGTCTAGTCCATTTTTTGTGTGTAAAAATAGGCAAAACAAAATAAGAAGAAAGGAAACCTTGAAGAGAGTACTTGAAAAAAGGCCATCATGAATTTTAAACCCCATATTTTATTCACAGCTCTAGGGAACTTGTTTTGTAAGGTTAAATTGGTTAAAATTTTTGTTAAAGAGTTACAGTTACTGTTTTGAATTTTTATGAAAAGACAGACTTCAAAATTGTGCATTTATCCACTTCATTTGCAAAGGACAATACTAACGAAATTGTTTACATGTTATTCTTGTAGACAAGTTGTTTTGCTGATGGAAAGCATGGCTAAAACAGGACATAGGAAGGTTATTCCCAGGCCAAAACGTTACTATGAAAGCAAGAATTTTCAGACAGTTTTATTTGACCCAAGAGGTAAGCAAATGATAGCCTTATTTCAATTGTTGCCTTATATGAAGTATATAATATTAACAACCAAGTAATAGAGAGAAAAAAAATGTGTATTTAAGTTTGAAGTCCGTCACATTTCTCATCTCATTTTGCATGAATCATGAAAGTAATTTTTTGTAAACATAATACAGGTATTTTTTCACTACTGGAAAAGTGCAAGTTTATGTACAGTACATGCAAGTTTAGTGTATCAAATATGATGTCCAAATCTTCAAATGATTTGAAAGTCAGTAGACAATGTCTTTGGTGATTCAGTGCTATTTGATTATTTTCAATTTTAGTTCAGAGGATGGTCTTTTACCAGCAAATAAGTAAGTGGGTTGTTGCCAGAAAATGACATGGAAAAATGGATTAAAAAACTGGAAACATTGCCAACGTGATGCAGTGAGGTTATAGGATTATTTCTTGGGGAAGCAAAGAAGAACAGGAGCTTTTTACGACAGACGTATTGTCATGGGTTAAAGAATAAATCCTTATCCTCAGTTATGCTTAATGGTTGAAAAAGTAGCCTGAAGGTTATGTTATATATGTGCATGTACAGCCAAATGATATATTAATAAAGATGTTATTAAAACAAAAATTTGTGAAGCATTTTTATTGGCAATTGTTTTGTTAATTTGAAAGAAATTGATAGTGGTCTTCTCCACCTTTCCTCTCCATTTTTTTTTCAAGAATAAAATTTTCTGCAAAAGTATGATTAAAAACATGCACACAGAAGCACACAGACATGACCAAACAGTAACAATGATTAAAAGTGGTAACACTTGGGATGATTTTTTTCCAAGCATCTAAACTCATTTCCATGAAAAGATTGTGTAGCATGAATACATCGCAAAGGCATTTGGGGGCAGTATTACATTTTCTCTTGGGAAAGTGCCATGTTTAGGGGCTATATACAGAGGTACCTGAGATGGGTTATGGTTTTGTTTAGAACTAAACCTGGATATAAATGTAGATTGTTTGTCAAAGGGGGTAAAAACTTGGGTTTCAGATTTTGGGGTTAAATTATTATTATTATTTATTTTTATTTTTTTTTTTTTTGTGATAAGTCTGTACGGTCAGAGATGTTTAATAATTTACAAGCAATTTCAACAACTTGACGTAATGTCTTTGTTATTCACTTGCCACATGATCCCCTTTTCTAATACATAGTTTGTCTTGTTTGAAAAGATAATTATTCGTTCATGGGGAAACGACGATTTTCCCGTACTTACCAATCCATTCTGACATTCAAAGCCAGTTCATTTTTTTATGATCAGTTATTAGATTATTACAAAGGTTAAGCCATGCATGAAGGTCACATGGTCTGATGGCAAGTACAGATTCCAGAATAATTGTGATAAACGCTTTTTTGTGATAAAATGTAATTTGTTAATTTTTTTAGGAGCTAATTAACAGAGTATTTATCGTGAAATGTTAATCGCATACGAACAGTTCGTTGTTATCCCTTAAAGATTAAAAGATTTGGATTCCCCACAGCTAGTCAGAACTAGCCTGAGCAAGCACCAAGTTAACATTTAAATATTGAAACTGACTATTTTTGTCTGCGTTGGTAAATTTTGCAGTGAATATGACAATATTGAAAAATGTGCCCATACATGTAGATAGAAAGCAGATCGTTCTCGACCGATCGTTCTCACACGTCGAATTTCTTGTGAAAATAAGACGTGGTTGAAGACAATATTTACAGGTTTTAAAGAATAAGGCAACGAACAAATGCGATATGTTTACATATTCAACACCTTGATCCCTTTCTATACTGTAGAAATCAACTTTCTATAATAATACAAGTGTGTCGTACAATCTTCCAAAGTACCCACTTACGTCAGCACAGATAGCAAGATGTCCAGCAAGAAAAAAAAGAAAGATCCCAAAAATTGGGTACGAAGCTTTACAGTGACCGATCCACAACTTCATGAAAAGGGACATACAATATACTGTGTGACCTCTAAGGTAATGTGTTACATCTTAATTTGCTGCTCAGTTTTGTGTGTAATCCGTCAATTCTCTTGACGACCGTGCCTGTCGGTGTCGCTGTCCTCGACTCAAGCCGATAGACGATACATTCAACGTACTCAACAAGTGCTACATATATCGCAGCTGTGATTAATACGTCGTGTAAAAGATTACCATTTTAACGCCAACTAACTGGCGTAAGTTGACAAATAATTGTGTGATGTCCCAAGTGAAAGTAAATATATGTCAAATGATAGAAAGAAGGGGAACCCAAAGAAGGGGCGGTAATGTTTTAACTTACGTGCAGGTATGTGTCTGCACAGCGTTTTCAAAAATACAAGAGCCTTTTCCAGGTTAAGGCAATGGAGGCTGAATTTTTTCTAGATTGTAACAACAGGGAAGCTCCCCCTCCCCC